TGGTGATAAAATTTATTGAGTATAATAATAATATTTTTATCTTTGAAATTACAAAATGTAAGTATTATATTGTCTATGGTTACGCATATGAATTAGGTGTGTTATAAGGGCATGAAACTGAGGCAGCGTCGGCTCGCCATTTTGTATTCAGGAGGACTTATTCACCTTTGAACTTTTGCAATCTCCAGCGGACCTTCCCAAGTCGCATCTCTCCACGCCCAAAAGGGTCTCGTTATACTAACTTTACACACGAAGCAGACAAGTGTGTAATCCGTTCAAGGCTTGTGTGTGACCTTATTTTGTCAGTCTATACGCACCTATTATAATATTTGCAACATAGAGAACAATAATGAAAAATAATTTCAAATAATGCATTAATAGTGGATAAGAATGAGGCAAATGTGTGTGCGTAGATAAGGTATGAACAGAAACTAACAATAGCAGAATGAATAAATATGCCGTCGAAATATTCCCGGATCAATAAGCACCTAAAGTTTCAACCATGAACATTATAATGTATTTTTTTATGTTCATGAAACTGTTAAAACCTATTGCTTACCATTTCAAATCATATAATAAAAAATATACCAAAAAAAATATGACAACATATAGGTATTTCATTATTACTTTATTTACAAATAGAAAAAAACATTGTAATAAAATGTATATAATTATAAAAGTAACGTATTGTTTGTTATTTTAATAGACAAACTTATAATTTTCATACTTATATATCTTAAAGAAAAATTTCGATTACTTACTCCCAGTCACAATAAGATAGAAGAAAGAGAAACTCATAAAAGATTAATAAAGACCCTTCAAGTATAGAGATACAACGAATAAAACACGAAAGTAGATTTTCTACAACAGACGGTCGTCGTCTGAGCTTTATAAACGTTTCGTGCGATATTAAAAAATGATGAACAAGCGTAGAGGGTCCTAAAACCGAATCAAATAACATGAAATTGTATTTATCTGAAATATAAAATTGTATGAACCTCCAAGTAGTGAATCTTCTATTACATATAGGTATTAAATATGTTATTGGGCCATGTTTGTAACTGCATAGTTACTAGAACGAGAAGTTTACAGGTTGCATTACTACTACATAATTCTATACTCGCATATAAGAATAAATAAAGATAAAACAATAACGGTAAAGTAATATTCATGTATACGCAGACTACACTAAAACGACTACATAAATGTATTTCACTTAACTAAAAGATTACTGCGACTTTCATTGCGATGCACTATTGCAGTTTTAAGCTGAGCTTTTTATAAAGCAGATATTGTTTCGAACAGAAGATATTATGCAATTATTAAATAAATATTTTACATATGTTGTCAATGCAGCCCATGACGCAAATTAATATCAAATTATGCTTTCTTTGTAATTATTTCTTTGTATTGTAAGTACGTAGGATAGGTTAATATGACGGAACAGAGTAATTAGTTAATTAAGCACATATTTATTATACATTAACATCTAACTTAATTAAACACATATTTTACTTGATAGTTAGTAGTATTAAGACTAACAAGACGTTATAACGTACATATGTTCTATATGTAGGCACTCTTTAGCCCTAGACAGTAAATTAAGTTAATTACACCTACCTCCACCTGAATTAGTTCCAATTTTATCGTTAGAGGTACCTATCACTTGTTAATAATAAGACCGCTGACCCATTAATAAGCTAATGTAATCAATATTAACGGCTCAAACTTTTCAGATTGATCGCTCAGTAAAAGTTACCGTATATACTTATTTTAGGAATTTGATTTGGATTATTTGCATTGGGAACTAGAGGACTCATTGCTAGCAACATACCCTAACAGGTCATCCTCCACGCGGTCCCATCTGACAACAGCGATACTTAATTTCTTCTGACTCCATCCAAGGAGAGATTATCGTCATCCTCCACTGATTGCCCGCCAGCGTTAGCCAATAGCACAGGCGGCGTTACTGTCCCATTTTCAGCTATTAAAAAAAACCGCTGTATCTAAACTATGTATATATTAATTTTTACCAGAGGAAGACTTTGTACAAAAGTCGATTGCTTGGGTACCTCTGTCCCATTCGTGTTTCAACCGTAAAGCAGTTGTGTTTGCATGGCTGTGTTTCGGTTTAAAGGGTGGGATATGGCGTGAATTTACTGGGTACAGAGGAATAACACCTGAGTCCCCAGGAATGGCAACGCATGGGGGATATTATGGACGAAACAGTATACTCTGTTATGTCCATGGTACTGTCTATATGCTCATGTCTATAGGCGACGGTTACCACTTTCCATCAAGTGGGCCATCAGCTTGTTTGCCATTCTAAGTTGTATAAAAAAAATATATAGTATTATGTATCAGTATACAGTTACATTTAGATACAAACCAATGGCAGTAGTTTAATTAAAACGTCCTTTAAATACATAATGAAATTAGACAAATATCAAATTATTGTACTTTTACTAAATGTCATCGATGCAAAAGTGACATTACCACTTTTACATTATCGAAATCGTGAGAAAAATCATACTGGTTTAAATGATTTGACTGCCGACTTCGATTGTAATGTTTTTTTTTTTTAAATACGACCTTAATCAATTTGATTAAGGTTGTATTTAAAAAAAACTAGCAATAATATAAATTATCGTCCAGCAATAGACAGGAATAGACAAGGCCCACCTAGTGAGGATATCAGAAGTTTTCTATTTTTACTTCATGCCTGTTCACTTGTACCTATATGTATGTAAACAAATGAACGTGACATTAACAAAAAAATCCTACTATTGAATGTTTTTGACTGTTAATTGAGCGCAATATTTATTTTACTGTCGTCGTACAGCGCTCCCACAAATAAAAACAAACCAATGACATCACATTTATTAAATCCGTTAAAGCGTTTAGGCACAGGTTAACTTCTGGATACAGCTATACACCAACACCGCTTACATTACCCTAATTTCTTTGGCAGCTAGGCAAAATGATTGCATAGTTGAACACATTTTTTTTTTATACAACTTAGAACGGCAAACAAGCTGACGGCCCACCTGATGGAAAGTGGTAACCGTCGCCTATAGACAGCAGTAGTACCATGGACATAACAGAGTATACTGTTTCACCCATGATACCCCCATGCGTTGCCATTCCTGAGGACTCAGGTGTTATTCCTCTGTACCCAGTAAATTCACGCCATATCCCACCCTTCAAACCGAAACACAGCCATGCAAACACAACTGCTTCACGGTTGAAACACGAATGGGACAGAGGTACCCAAGCAATCGAATTTTGTACAAAGACTCCCTCTGGTAAATTATAAATTAACACATTAAATGCTTAAATATTCGTGGCAAAAAGTCATTTTTCTTTGAAAAATGGAATAAGCTTACCCCGTGCTATCGGTATACATACGACAAAGTACCACTGTACAATAAAGGATAGATGATAAGCAACGATGGAGTCATATGACTAGTTAGATTTAATATGACGAATTCACCAGGTACTAAGCACTATAGTTTCCAAATGGAACCGCAGAGGCTGCCCCAACAGGGAATATTGCTAGTAAAGAGATCACGAGACCCCATTACTAACAATCCCCTTAGCACAATCATGCTTTGTTTGCTTCCTCTAGAATATATCGAAATATTATTTTTGAGAATAGAGGTACTAATGCTACACAAAATTTTATTAAAAAAAAGAAACGGGAATCAAAATACAACAAACACAAAACGTGCAGCTGTCAAGTTAGTGTAGGAGGCTGAATGACATTTTGTCCTTGTCCACGTACGTTTCAATCAAATTTAATTTCATACCTATGTATCACTGTGTGATCCCGGCATAAAATAGACCACTCCTTCCTTTCCCATGGGTGTCGTAAGAGTAGACTAAGAGTAGGCGAGGAATGGACAGCAGCGTCCTTCTTAGTACATCTATAAAAGTTTAACTGCGGTTGCGAACCCGCCTGCCAATCTTGGCAACTACTGGCAAAACTGCCCTTGTGGGAAAGGCTTATGTTCAGCAGTGGACAGTTAACGGCTAAAATAATAAAAAAAAATATATCCTCGAGTAATGCCGTTTATAACGCAAATATAAAGAGAAAGATAAACGTAATACCTAATATCATAACAAAGTGAATTCTCATTCGAAGCAATCCCGTCGCATAACATTGTAGCTACTTATTTATATTCTGTTATTACATTCGTATCCCTGGTGCGGAGGAACAAATTTATTGTGTTACAGCATGCAGGCAATCTAAGTAAGTAACCTATACATAACGAAACATAACGAAATCGTAAAAGTCAAGTCATCAAGAAGATTGGTATTATGTATATGGAGAGCCAGAGCCAATATTTTGTCTCGCTGTATGAAATACAATAACAGAGAACATTAAATTTTCTTGTATAAAGTCGACAAGGTTTTATTTTTGGAAAATCAGAGCAATCTTAAAAGCAAAGGTAAGTCGTCTGAACAAAAGTATACAAAAGACTCGTAACTTATACCTTTGGCCGCAAGAGAATATCAGTGCTTTTCTCTTTTGAGGGCGAAGCAATAAACTGAGTTGTGACCATTTTGTATTGTTATGGCACACTCACAAACGAAAAATTGTATTTAGCTTTATATTTTTTTTTTTTAATCATTTATGTTATCTCGCTTTTTATGTATATCTATATATGTTGTAATTTGTGTGCTGTAATGCAAATAAATTATCTATCTATGTACACTAATATAATAAAGCGGGAGCGTTTGTTTAAACGCGATTATCTTTAGTACTACCAGTCGAATTTGAGAGTTATTTTTGCATTTATTAACTTATTTTTTGAGGAAGCTTATTCAACATCACGCTATAATTACGCGCGAAATCGCTAAATACAAATATTAGTAAATTATATATAGATACATACCCCAATCCTATAAAAGGCAACATTAGCCTACTATTCCCACGCTGGCAAGTCTTCAGTGATTTTTTAACATTATAAAGTTAAATGGGATTAAGAAAAAATAAATATAATTAAAACATTTTTATTCATCAAAATACACCTTATTAATCAGTTATATTAAGAATATTATGTATTATTCACTCAAAATAGTAAACATCAGGCACAATTGTATTTTACACAAGGTACAGGCACAATTTATTTTAGTTTCTGATATGAGATTCCACTAAAAAATGATGGCCTTTCAAATCAAAAACCCAGTACCCGGAGCGAAGTTTTGCCTAACGCAAAAAAAAAATGTATAGCTTGTACTGTGTTTAGAAAAATTAAAAGTAAATTAAAAACTTCACTTCAAGTACTGATTTCTTACAAATAGGATCAAACACATGGATTCACATAAAAGTAATCTTCGTCCGAACTTGATTTACTTGCCATACATTCAAGTTTTCATATTGCTCGATGCACGCATCCACCTTTAAAATAATTCATAATATTAATTTATTTTATATTATAAACTAATTGACTTTTTGAGGATCTTGGCATTTTGTTCGATACATAAATTTATTCATTCCGCCTCAGCGGTAGATGCCTGTCAAACTCGGCTAGGTATAGTCGACGTATAAAGTAAAGCAATGTAACATACATTAAAAAGTTTAAATTAATTATACCCTATTAGGTCATTGATCAATTCTTTTTTGATTCATCATGATGGGACAACTGACTTCATTCCCGTCATTTTATCTTTCACTGATACCCCGCTATTGTAAGCCATTAGCATAGGCGAGTGCGCCATTCCATCTTTATATACTCAAAAAACTCACCTATATTATCAGTAAGTAAATAAGTATATGTAATTTAAGGGTATTCTATCCTTAAAATTGAACTTTTTCTCAAAAAAATTAATGAAAATGAAAATTTTACAACTATATTGTAGTGAGATAAAATTTATTATCGAATTTTGAATGGCAGTCGTTACATTATCAGTATCACTCACTTGATCAGGTTTAAATCCTTTGTCCACGCATCTCTCAATTACGTCCGCAATTTTTACAGTTTGGCTCGAGCCGGCCAGGTCGCGCACAATCGCGAAGATTCTGTCCATAGAACTTATGCCCCTAATGGATACAAAATAAAAATGAAAATCATTGCTCAGTACAAAAACAGATATAATCATAACTAAAAACAAGATTTTGTTTCACAAAAAAGAAAACTATTTCAATCATTACAAAACCTAATTATCTTTATTTGAAAACCAAACTACTGAACCGATTTTGATAAAATTTATTTATTCTTTATTGCACAATAAAGCTTTGTACAAGTGGCGAGCTTAATGCCATATGGCATTCTCTACCAGCTAATCATTAGATAAAAACAAAAAGCATATAAAGGGCAGATGTGGTAAAAAACTTGTGACATAATTATAGCAACATAATGAAATAATTATACATAATGATACATAAGAAATACACATATAACACATAAATACTACTTATAATATATATAGTTATACTAATATATATATACATAATAACTTTGGTAAACATTATGAGATATAGTAACTATTGAAAAACCTGGAACTAGAGCTGGTTTTGTTGACTCAACAAATAATTAAAAAGTCTTCTTTTTAAAATATGCTTAAGAAATTCTATAGGACTAATCTGAAAGTATATTCTTTCTAAACGATTTATAATCAACACAGTTCTGAGGAAACATCTTCTCTTGATCTTATCTTCAAGACAAGAAGATAATGTTTAGTTTTATCGCTAAACCAGCTTTTACTCACAATTTGCCCGCGTGTCTGGGATATATTTACTAACCGGGAAAAGAGTAACCGATACCTTTCATCAGATACAGTACGTGTATACCAAATTTCATAGTGATTGATTAAGCTGTTAAGCCGCTATAAGGTAAAAAACAAATTCTCTTTCACTTTAATAATATTAGTAAGATTCTCTTCCAAGCTAACACTGCACTGCCTAAAGATTAATAAATAAGTCCTCCTTTTGTACAATAATTTTATGCTATCAGTTACAAAATTAGAGTCTTAAGCGTATTTTTTTTTAAACTTGTGACTAAAAATATATACCTCTGAACATTATCTTCGACATGCTGTAAAGATTGTTTCGACATATCCACAAGGCGGATCGCCTCCGACACATCCTCCTTTTCCACCACATCAGATAACCTAAAAACCATTATTTTTATTTAGTAAAACCTTTTTTAAAATATAAATTCTGTATTTGAAAAGTTTATAATAGTAAATTGCAAATTTTATTCTTCCAAGCTACCAGTGATGATAGGTAGTGCCCATGTCAATATATAAAAATGGTTAAAATTTTTGCCAATTAATTAATGTATTTTTTTTATTTAAAAAATTGGCTTTATTACCTAATTAAAAATGATTTTATTGTGAATTTAATTGAACATAGGAGTGATTGCAATATTCAGTAACTTCAACATGTATAAATGGAATCCACTTGAATATTTAAAATATTTATAAAAAATACCTGAGACGTGCTAATGCTGTCGACAAACGCAGTATAGCGAGCAGATTTCTGGCGGACGTAAACGTCACATCCCGCGCGTTACGTGCTTCGCGACGCATCTCGACATACGACGCTATAATAAAAACAAGTTAATCATCATTGGCGACCGCGTACGTGCAAATGCAGTGTAGGACGGTCCCTCACTAGATGGAGTGACGACTTGAAATGCATTGCAGGGAGTCAGTGGATGCAAGTAGCTCCGGACCGTTCTTTATGGCATTCTATATGGGAGGCTTATGTTCAGCAGTGGACGGATAATGGCTGAAATGATGATGAATTATCATTGTATTAAAATCTGAACAACACTTTTCAAGCATAATAATCCGAGTAACGGCGATAGGCTCGCCACTTGTCACGTTGGTCACTAATATGTATACTTGGCAACAATTGTCAATTGCTTTTGATTATTACTAGTATTGACTTTAGAGAAAATTTCGGTCGATGGCGGCCAAGTTCAAAAGACGCTAAGATCTAATAAGAGACACTATCGTTACAGCAGATAGCACGGATATCCATTGACCTTTTCTTTTAGTCAAAGGAGATACTGGGCACAGGCGATGAAAAATTTTAAAGGGTGGCGACCGTGAATGTTTTCGTTGTCAGGTTAAAAGCTCTATCAAAAACTTGCCAAGAGGTATTTGGTAGATTGAACCAGCTTTTTTTTATACAACTTAGAATGGCAAACAAGCTGACGGCCCACCTGATGTAAAGTGGTAGCCGTCGTCTATAGACATGAGCAGTACCATGGACATAACAGAGTATACTGTTTCGCCCATGATACCCCTCATGCGTTGCCATTCCTGAAGACTCAGGTGTTATTCCTCTGTACCCAGTAAATTCGCGCCATATGCCCTTCAAAACAAAAACCCAGCCATGCAAATACAACTGCTTCACGATTGAAACACGAATGGGACAGATATACCCAAGCAATCGACTTTTGTACAAAGTCTCCCTCTAGTAACTACGTCATTATAGTCATGAGCATATTTATTCAACATGAAATTAATCAGGAAAATGGGGCAACACGTCAAGTTGTTACTCACAGACGATGTAGTCGGCGAGATGCGGCGGCACGGTGGGCTGCTTGCGGCGCGTGAGTGCGACGTAGCGGCGAACGAGCCGCATGGGTAGCGCTCGCCGCGACGTCGGCGGCTGCTGCGAGTGCTGATGTACGTACGCTATATGCTTTGCCAACTCTAAGTCTTTATCCCTGAAGCAAACATATACATCTATTAATAATGTTCCACTACGTCTGTGTAGCGGAATGGAAATTATCTACTTGAAAACCTTACTAATATTACAAATATCAAAATGAGTTTCTTACTTCTTGGTACCGTAACGTTAGTTTCGTGATGATTGCTCAACCATTTTACACACACCATTTGAGAAGAAGAAGGATATTATTTTCTTTTATGTGTGATAATGAAATAGCAACCAACATTGGTGGGATACCAGTCAATGAACATAGATAATACAGAAATGAGGCCAGTTGGCTCATCATGACAAATTGACTAGAAATTAACCACAAATATGGAAACTCTATAGGGAACCGAATGGAATTATTTCCATTCAGTCAGTTCCCTCTAGAAGTAGCTATACCTAAGAGGAATATACCCACTGCAAACAATATACCTTCACAGATACCAAATTGATTCAGAATTAGCTAGTTCAGGTTTAGACTCTACAGTTTTGTATTATCTATTAGGAAAATATAAATAAGGTACTTATATATATTTCAATCACACAATAATTATATATTTTATTAATATTTCTATAATGTTTTGCAATTAAGGACACGAATTAAGTGGATAAATAATTAATAATTTCAGTGTCTATTCATAAAGGTATACATAATGTTACTTATATGTGAAATGTAAGCTATATAAATTGCACTTATCGTGTTTTTTGGTCATAAAGGGTAAACATGTACAATATCTTAGTCTTTATTTATAAAGTGGTAAAAAAATATTCAAGCTATCATAGGTAGGGGATGAGGTCATCCCCCAATAAAAAGTCATTTTAATTGTACCAATACGATATTATCTCTTGTTAATGGTATTTATACCACAAATGGTATGTTTTTTAATAATATAATTTGGCGTCAAAATCAGATAATATTGATTGCGTTGTTAATTAAACATAACAGATGGAATGACAAGTGGATACATTGTTGTGTTCTTGGAAATACCAGATACACGGCATTAGATAATATTCAATTGTTTTAATTGAGGCCACACTATCTGCACCAGTATCAACCAGAGATGGTCACTGACACGAAACAAAATTAATTATTCATAGCACTAGGTTTATTTCCCTAATGAGTACTTATAATAATATATTATATAATACAATAATAATAATTTATTAAGCAAAAATATATTTATATGATAATATTTAAAGACTTTTTATATTTTTTTTTTTTTATTATTTTTATTTAAAGATACCTTAGAAGATTAGATTTAGGCAAAGCACTTAGCGGAAAACATGCGTCGGAAATTTATAGCTAATATGGATATATATACTTATATGAATATTATTACGGATATGGTTGTGGTACAGGTACAGGTAGTAATAGTGGTGGGCTACCATTATTACTACCAGTAATTACTACTACCACCACTGGTGGTCAATCTAATGGTAGCGAAATTAAAAAAAAATGTAATCAACTAACCAGTGATATGGAATTCTGCTAATTAACATCTAATTCAGTAAAATAAGTATTAGTATTTTTCAAACATTGACATAATAACGTCGTTTGTTACCTATTGGGTTTATCCTGAATGAGCCACAGCAGATCGAACCGAGACAGTAACGCTGCTGGCAGCTGTATATTCTGCTCGATGGAACGCTTCGGATTATACCTTCCGTACGCGGGATTCGCCGCCGCCAATATCGACACGCGGGCATTCAGACATGTCATTATACCCGCCTGTAAAAATGAAACGTTTAAAATATTTTGTTAATAATATTAAACGAGCTTCTGCCCTTCGTACTTCTTACGCGTAGATTCCGAAAATATCAATGAAATAGAGCACTTTTCGTGGGGTATCGAGATAAAACAAAAACTTTATTAAAAACGAGAATTAGATCCTCACAAACACAACTGTAAAAACCGTATTCAATTTAATAGTTTTTGCGTGATGTCGGAACAAACATATAGATAGACTAACAGACAAAATAAGTTTAGCTTCTATTGCTCTTATTAACATTATCATACAGTTTCTTAAATAACTTTCATATACAGATATAATCTAGTTACAATTTTATTATATTAGTAACATTATTTTAAATACTTGTATTTAATTGCACTGTTTTTATTGTGGAACAAAGTTAATGTAAAGTTAAAGTAATTTTGTAATTTATATAATTATATTAAATTTTAAAGTCACAACATCTGAGGAAACAAAATAATTTTCACATATTAGTGAAGAAATTCATTAGTTTCATATTATACAATAATAAATTGATCAAAACTTTGTTACGTTATACACACATCTAGATATTATGTACAATGACATCTATTGCTTTCCACAATATATATAATCACGTGATATGTCAAACAATGCTTGTTACTTAAGGTATATGATAGTAATAAAACACCCCTGGATAATATGACGATTGAGGGCATCAAATTATTAAAACACTAAATTAGATAAAATTTTAAATTTAACTCAATTTTATACATTAAATACATTTTTTCATTTTAGAGAAATTCTATTAATGATGTGGGATCATAATTATATTTATTATTTTGCAAAAAGTTGTATCCCTTTAAATATCTAATAAAATAAATTTAAATATCTAATAGCTATTGATCTATTTAATATTTTCCGACTGAAGTTAAATTTCTATGAATAAATTTGGTCAAGTTTATTTATTAGGATGTAACGACATAGGGCTAATGCATTGGTATACCTTTGCGATACTAATAGTTTGCTGCTCCATGACCTCGTGTATAGCTGTGCGGTCAATTTCTGCCATCTTATCGAACTCGTCGATACAACACACGCCCTGATCAGCCAGAACTAGAGCTCCTCCTTCCAACATCATCTCCCCAGTAAACGGATCCTAACAATGAAAGGCAGAATTTAGTAAGCTATTTATTTAGTAAGTTGCATTTTAGTAAAGCTTAGATTTTAAAATAATTAATTCATGGCATACATAAATACAAGTAACAAAGGTAAATTATAAAACTGATTGTAAAATATTTAAATTCAGAATATTGTAAAATATTTGAATTCAGAATAAATAAATAATCAAATTATACCTTAAACAGTGCTTAAAGCGTGTAGAACAGAAGGTATGAGGTAAAAAAAAGAAAGGGAAACTGTAAAAGTTAAAAAATATGAGAAGGCTCTCTACTTATAAATCCATATAAATTGAGATAGAAGGTGAGAGAAGACAAGGAGGAGAAAAGAGGACTAAAAAGGGAGAGAAGGGGAGAGAAAAGTGTGTACCTTCATAACGGCAGCTGTGAGACCGACGCCGGAAGAGCCGCGTCCAGTGGTATACTGAGAGCGTGGCGCGAGACGGTCGATGTAGTTCAGCAACTGAGACTTGGCCACTCCCGGGTCACCCATCAAGCAAATATTGATGTTACCGCGAATCTTCATGCCATTAGGCCGCCTAACCATTGTAATAAAAGTTTTAAGAGAATGTATATAAATTAGCCATCTGACACCACTCCCATGGGAAAAGTAATAATGTAATCCTTAAGTTATTCATGTAAATTATTTCAATTTCATGGTATTCTATAAACACATTTTCTTAATTATTAATTACTAACATATATATTATTAATGGGTGATGGCCATTTGGTCCCTGGATAGAACAGGCCACCCCTTCTTTTCCTGTAAGTGTCTTAAAAGACGACCAAGGGACGGCGAGGGATGGACAGCAGCATCCCTCTCAAAACATCTCTAAAGCCTACCTGCGGTTACCAATCCGCCTGCCAAGCATGGCAACTACTTGCAAAACCCCCCAAGGGGGAGGCTTATGTTCAGCAGTGAATGGTTAAAGGCTGATATGATGATGATGATATTATTAATAAATAATCTTAATTTACTTGTCAACACCGCCCACAAGCAGCAGTAGTAGTGCTTTCTTCACATCCTCATGGCCATATATCTCTGGCGCCAAGCTCTGCGCCATTCTCGAATACAAATCCTCCTCAGACAACTCTGCCAACTCTTCCTCAGTGAGGGCTTCAGAAATCTCGTTCTCATCACTTTGGTTCAGGCAAGTCACACTCTGTTATAATTATTTAAAAAAATATAACATAAAAACCAATATCTATGTCTTCATGTTGGATCATAATCTATCTATTAAAAAACAAAAGAAATACATTACATATGAATTGTTGAACATAATTATATCAACCTATAAACAAACTACATCAACCTAATTTATTAATAATAGGAGTCTTGTAGCTTCACTGCTAGTAATTTTTTTTTATGCAACTTAAAATGGCAAACAAGCTGATGGTCCACCTGATGGAAAGTGGTAACCAGCGCCTATAGACATGAGCAGTACCGTGGATATAACAGAGTATACTGTTTCGCTCATGATACCCTCCCCCTCCCCCCATGTTCCTTAGATTCCATCCCTAAGGTATTATTCCTCTGTACCCTGTAAATTTACTGCCATATCCCACCCTTCTGCTTCATGGTAGAAACATGAATGGGACAGAGGTGCCCAAGCAAATGACTTTTGTACAATGTCTCCTTCTGGTGTATATATATTTTTTTTTATCTCCTGAGAAACCACCATGACTAATAAATGATGAATTCATCACAATGGGCCAATTGACTAGACTGCATTCTCACCTATCATCCCTTTATTTTCACACACATTAGGTGTGTGGTGACACACCTAATGTGTGTGCTAAAATACCATAAAATTCAACACAACATAATGTTTAAAAATATAGGGATTTACATGAGCCTCAAGGTATGTATCCGAGAGCAGCCCCTGCACAATCTGCTTGAAGCCAACGCTAAAAAGCGGCAGGAAGACTCCACTGACGGCCACGTGGTCCCCAGGTTGCGCGCGACGGGTCGTCTCGCCGCGGCAGTACACCGACAGCTGTCGCGGAATGTGCCCCACTGGCACTTGGTCTGACTGCACAACACATCCAAGTCCATATTAATAAACATAACTATTTGAAATGATTCATTAATAAATGAACTTTTTTTTTTTTTTTTTTTTACAACACAGGGGGCAAACGAGCATGCGGCTCACCTGATGGTAAGTGACTACCGCCCATGATCACCCACAACACCTACGGCATTGCAGGTGTGCTGCCGGCCTTTTAAAAAGGAATATGCTCTTTTCTTGAAGGTTATGTTGTCGTATCGGTTCGGAAATACTGCTGCTGGAAGTTGATTCCAAAGAGTGGTTGTGCGTGGGAGAAAGTGCCTTGAAAAACGCACGGTGGAGGACCGCCACTTGTCCAGATGGTTGGGATGAAATTTTAGTTTATGGCGGGTTGTACGATGGTGAAAATCTGCAGCAGGTATCAATCCGAACAATTCTTCAGAGCACTCCCCATGATAAATTCGGTAGAAAATGCACAGAGATGCAACATCTCTACGCAGTTCCAGTGGGTCGAGCCGGACAGTAAGACGCCGATCGTCAACAATTCGAGCTGCCCGACTTTGAATGCGGTCTAACGGAAGGAGTTGGTACTGTGGCGCTCCTGCCCACAGGTGAGAACAGTATTCCATGTGTGGCCTCACTTGAGCTTTATATAGTTTCAGGCGGTTTTCTGGCGTGAAATACCGTCTCACCCTATTGAGCACCCCCAACTTTTTGGAAGCTATCTTAGCTTATACTTAGAAAACAGTTGTTTATGAATGGTTGACCAAATAATTCTGAATTCAACTTGTTGGTTTTATTGTATGAAAAAATAGGGGTAGGCCTTTACTTAGCAACACACAACTAAGAAAAAAATATTATTTTGCACCATAATGCCAACCATATCCATCATAATGCCATGATTTCAAGTCACTAGGCTAATAAAAATAATTGTTTGCAAATAAAGCCACAAGGTACAGTTAGTTATGTATAAGTTCTTAGATGGGTAAAATAAGGATATTAAAAATTGTTCTGCCAGATGATCTGATTTCTCATAATACAGAGTATCCTAGCTAGATGATCAGGTGATTACTGTTACTGTGCGGCACTTACAAAAAAAAGTAGCATATTAAGAAATACTAACATGCTCCTGAATTTTCAATTCCTGGAATTTTTGAAACCTAGAACCTCTGGTTTGCAAGTGCAATTGTCCTGCGGTCTTGTTAAGGCGGCACTCATCAGCCGAGCAGGCAGGCGGCGGCGTGAACTGCAGCGCACGGACCGGCTGGTACGTTTCCGCGCCACAAGCACTGCACGAGTACGTTGCCACCACTAGAAGAGGCTTCACATCCGTGCATCGGGTCACAATACCTGCAGTCAAGTAAGGGTGTATTCATTTATGAACATTTCATCATATGAGGACATGTTTAGATGACCATACTGTTCTATGAAACCTTTTTCAGTTGAGTTTTTCAATTAGTTTACCAGAGGGAGACTTTGTACAAAAGTCGATTGCTTGGGTACCTCTATCCCATTCATGTTTCTACCGTGAAGCAGTTGTGTTTGCATGGCTGTTTCGGTTTGAAGGGTGGGATATGGTGTGAATTTACAGGGTACAGAGAAATAACACCTGAGTCCTCAGGAATAGCAACGCATGGGGAATATCATAGGCGAAACAGTATACTCTGTTATGTCCATAGTACTGCTCATGTCTATAGGCAATGGTTACCACTTTCCATCAGATACAAAAACCTGTTTACAAGCATATTATTTAAGTTCTCAGCACTAAATCTAAAGCAATCTAAATTACATTTGAAAAATTTTAACTATTTGTTCTGTAGTATGTAATGAAAAATAATTAGGAAATTTTTCTCACCTCTTACTGTAACAAGTTTGCCAATGTGTTCTGCTTTTACTTCTCTAATTGGTATGGACTTGGAAGTTGCCATATCCTTAAAATACACCTCACTAAAACAATATAAAAAATGTTATTAATTAATTACAACAACTCAAAATTATTACAGACAGCAATATAACAAATTTACTACTTATATACTAATACTAGTTTTATATAACTGGATTAAAAAATTTAATAAAAATACTATGTACTCATGGAGAGGTAGGCCTTAATGAATCTGGATGAAACAGAAAAACTTAGAATCATAAAGAACTACTAATTGATTTTTTCAATTTGTAGTTCTTTATGACTCTATTATTAATTTTTTAGTTTGTGCATTAATTATGTGCCATACAAGAAATATCAAATATTTTTATTTTAAACAAAATGTTATTCATTAAACTTACAATCGCCTAATAAGCTCTGGAGGATATCTGTTTCTTGGGTCTCTCATCTCTCCTGGAATTCTATGATTTCGTGCTTCCAACATAATTCTATGTTCAATGTACACATCTAATGAGTCTTTAGAAGCCACCTATTAAATAGATAAGATTGAATAAGATCAGAAATAATATTTTACTAAAACAGATAACTATGGTATGTGGTTTTAAGTAGTTACCTCTTTATGCTTATAGTCTGGCAACATTTCATACACAACATCGGAGACCATATTAGTGTACCGACGAGTATTTGACTTTACAGCTTCAGCCAATTCCTCATTAACTTCATGGAGATCATCTAAGTCCACAATAAAAGCTGTCTAAAAGTAGCATTATAAAAAATTATTAATAATTATAAAACATCCACAATGCATGCATCAAAAACTAAATCTAAATTTACAAGTCACTTAATTTAAAAACATTTACACTTTAGTTATTTTTGTCATGAACTTCTTGAAACTATCTGTAATTCTAATAAGTTTAATTTTTTTTTTTTTTTTTACAACACAGGGGCAAACGAGCATGCGGCTCACCTGATGGTAAGTGACTACCGCCGCCCATGATCACCCACAACACCTACGGCATTGCAGGTGTGCTGCCGGCCTTTTAAAAAGGAATATGCTCTTTTCTTGAAGGTTATGTTGTCGTATCGGTTCGGAAATACTGCTGCTGGAAGTTGATTCCAAAGAGTGGTTGTGCGTGGGAGAAAGTGCCTTGAAAAACGCACGGTGGAGGACCGCCACTTGTCCAGATGGTTGGGATGAAATTTTAGTTTATGGCGGGTTGTACGATGGTGAAAATCTGCAGCAGGTATCAATCCGAACAATTCTTCAGAGCACTCCCCATGATAAATTCGGTAGAAAATGCACAGAGATGCAACATCTCTACGCAGTTCCAGTGGGTCGAGCCGGACAGTAAGACGCCGATCGTCAACAATTCGAGCTGCCCGACTTTGAATGCGGTCTAACGGAAGGAGTTGGTACTGTGGCGCTCCTGCCCACAGGTGAGAACAGTATTCCATGTGTGGCCTCACTTGAGCTTTATATAGTTTCATATAATGATGATAAATTATATATTCTTTATATAATTTTATGAATAATTAATTATAAACATGATACAATGTCAGAACACAACCTAAAATACACCGATTCTAACCTACCTGTTCCCTATGAGCAACTTTTGTAAGTTGCTCTGCGTATTTAAAGTTTTTATGTCCTTCATCATCAGTCTGGCAAAAATCAATAAAAAAATTCTTGAAGGATTCTGTAAAATAAAAATCACTTGTAATGCAACCGCAAACAAACAGACTCTGAGATAACAAATACGAAATAATATTCTTACCCTTATCTGCAACATAATCACGCATAGCCATTTCAAATGATTGTTTAATGAGAAAAATCAATAATAAGGTTGTTTAAGTAAAAACTTTATATTTTAATCTATAACGCACAAAACATATGCAGTTTAAAACAAGTTGACAAGTTAAAAATAATTGGCGCGAAAACTTTGTTTTTGTAATAAATTCGTTCAAATTGATATGCAAAGAGCGCAGCCTATACAGCCCGAGGATAAATTTCTTTTTTACATTATTTAATTTCTTCATTAACTTAATTATAGTATATCTAATTCAATATTTTTTTCTGGTAGATTACCATTCCATTATCATTCTTAAAAAAAATTTGTAATAATTAATTAAGGCGGTATGAAGTAGCAATTTCAATTTCACATTTATAATATTTAAAAGGATTGCCACTTGTAAAAAAAACAAAAGACATTGTAGCTAGATCTCTTTCCTATAAACAACAGTCGATTGTCCTTTAATTTAATTTAAATAATTTTATAAACTGAATGTTATTTAATATTATTGCTAATAGCATTTTCTACCAGTCAGTCTTTGGGACGTACATTGAATCAAGAATACAGTACTTTAGTGATAAGATAGATAATGATAATAACAGATATGTAAATAATTGTAACAACTAACATTAAATAATGATATTAATATACATATATAAAGATGAAGGGTAAATAATTTTAATAAGCAATTAACCGTTTACGAAGCCTTTCGTAGTTGTTTTTTAAGTCGCGAAATTCTATAAAAGAAATAACCCGCATTTAGTCAGTTTAGTTCTTGCCAATCTTGGATACAATCTTTGTTATTTCCATACTAGCTTTCAATGTATGGATTTGGTTAGAGATTATCATGCTCATGTGTAGTTAAATTATGAAATCACAATAGTGCGAACTTAACTTATAAAAATCCTGTCAAATGTAATGCGATTGGCTGCGATCTACACTACTTGTGGAATAGTTTTAACTTGTATTTTATATTTCTTTTTGTTTTGACGTTAAAATTATGACTATATTTAATTAATATTGACTTTTTTTACGAAGTTTACTCTAGAAATAGACCAGATATTACGAGAAGTCTTGAAAACTTGTGTTTGTTATCAATAATACTATGAATTTGAGATCTTAAGGTAATATTGTATAAAAAAATATATTTAAGAATTTTATTTTTGCTAAAAAAATGTTCTTCGGAACATGCATTGTGATTCCTTTATCACACGATTCGCGTTTCTACTATCAAACTATAGTATAATTATAACCCTATTCGTTTCCCTTTTTTGAATATCAGGCTGGCCAACATAATGAGAAAAAGCAGGATTTTTTGTGTAGATTGGTTAGATGTTCCTGACCAAATCGGTTTAGGTGATTTATATGAAGTGAAGTCTTTTATCTTTAGGTTATATACTCTAGTTCCCGCCATTTCCAATGTCTGTCAATTTTTATTTACAATTTTGTTTTCTTTACTTATATTTTTTAATGCACAATTTTTTATTAAAGTAATATTTATCTTTCAAATTAAGTAGGTAATATAGTGACTGTAGTTTTAAGTTAGTTAATTATCAATGTTAAAATGTCAGAATCATTAGGTAAGTATCTTATAGTAAGTTCCGTTTAGTATTGAAAAGGAAGGGAGGTGTAAATGATTACTTCGTATTTTGTTTGTATTTTTTGTTAATCACCATTGTTCATGTTTCAAATAAATCACATATTAATACAGCAGGGCAACGAGCCAAACGCCAGAAAGTTGATAAACATGGACGTCAGTCTGCATTTGAGAAACTTAAACAGCTCAAAGGCAAAGGTTCCAAACATAAGTATGACGTCGATAACTTGGAAAATGTTTACGATACCGTAGATGAAAGAGAATACAGTGAACGAGTACTGCAAAGACAAGAAGATGATTGGATAGAAGATGGTAATATTTTAGTTAATTTTTATAATATCAATAGATTATTATTTCGGTTGTTCCCACTAATAGCTGAAGACAATGGATACGGGTGGGAAGTGTATTAATTAGAGAGCCGGTAGGTACCATAAGTGCAGAATACAGTACTAGTTTCAAATAAATTTTGTCTGTCTGCATGGTTTGTTTGTTCATTACATAAAAACTAGGGCACCAAATTGGATGCTGTTTTCACAAATATATTCCTGATGATCTAACTTAAAAACTAGTGTAGATTTTATTTTGCTACACCATCTAGAAGTAGTTTATTGAATTGGTTTTCCTATTTTAAAAAGTCATAAATATAAAGTAACAGTGAAAAGCAAGTCCATAATATAATTAGAAAATATTTAGTTAAATCTGGAATTTGTGATAAAATATAATCAATACATAAATTAAAAAAAATCAAATTTTGTATTCAATTATAGATGGCACAGGTTATGTGGAAGATGGACGGGAAATATTTGATGATGATGAAATTGAAGATACCTATGTTGCTACCGAAAACAAGGGATCAGGTCGAGGACAGAAGAGAAAAGCCAGAGTTGCAGCACCCTCATCCAAAGGGAACATAAGAAATCTGCTAGGTTTAATGCCATCAAAGAGAAAAGAAGTTAATATCTTATGTTCATTTTAGTTTACTTTTTACTGTTTGTGAAAACCATTTTTCTATTACATAGATAAACCTTACATTTTTTATTAATCAAAAAGTATATATATATTTTTATAAGTATATATTGTATAACACTATATTATATAACACTAATAATATATGGGATCGATTTTGAGACACCATTTCTCTAAACCTATCATAATAAAATCTTTATTCTAAAATTCTAAATTAATATAAACTAAATTTATACTAATAATAGCTTTAATTCAAAACTTAATAATTTTGTATATGTTGTACATATAACAGTAATTTCATTTCATATTATTATTACAATTAAAATATTAGGTTAAGAGATAGAAAAATGCCACCTCAAAATCAGTGCCAAGATCACAATAATTTTTAAAGTACATATTTGAAAAATAAACTTAATATATTAAGTAAAATAAGTTATAGGTCTTAGTGACTTATAAGATTTAAAATTTTAGGATGTGAAAATATCTGACGATAATATTTTATCAGATATAATGTCAGATTTGGATGGTAATACACCATCCACAGTTGTGAAACCCAAAACTTTAGTGACACATAAGCCAACCATAGTTGAATCAAGTAAGAGAGAAGCACAAAACTACTTCAAGAACCTGTCTTCTTCTATAAAAAAACCAACTGTACTGTCTTCAGCGGCGAAAGAAATCACAACAGTCAAACAAGAGACAGTCGTAAGTAGAGACTTATTTATAATTTTCTTATCTATTTATCAAAATATTATAGATATCTTAAATATTCTTACTGATGTTTTAAATGTAAAATTGAGTTTGTTACATCTTCGTGACACAACAGGTCAACCAATTATCATTAAATTTTTTATATTTATATGTATTTAGGATGAAGCAGGATGGTTTACACAGACAAAGTCATGAGTAAAATTTTATCAATACTTTACAAAATCTATTTTTAGTTACAGGATCAAACTGTTGATAGAAATAATATAGTTATTAATTCGAAGCCACCTATTGAAATAGATCATAAAAAAACAGATATGCCAGTCATGAACAAAGTAGCGCCTAAAAAAGCCGAGTGGAAAATAGACAAGGAAATTAAACAAGAAACGGAGGACTCTGCCACACAAAACATAGAGGAGTTTCACACACAAGATGTAGATTTTGATGATGATGATTTTACTGATGATGCATTATCAAAACCTATAGAAGTTAAAAATGAACTTAACACAGGAAGTAATATAATAGATGTGGCTGAAGAATTCTTAAATGATGACTTTGAAATTTTTCCATCGAAAAAAGAATTAAAACCGTTATCAAGTACATGGAATGATCAGATGGGTGATAACCAAGTACAGGCCTCTGTTCAGACAGATGGACTGTTACCTCTTCACACAAATGAAAATGGGGAGAATGTGCTGAAATTTTACTGGTTAGATGCTTGGGAAGACAGGTTTTTGAAGCCAGGAGTTGTATACTTATTTGGCAAAGTTTATGTTAATCCATCTGATAAGAAAGCAGGTTGCCTATCTTGTTGTGTGGTAGTAAAAAATATTACAAGGCAGATGTTTTTGTTGCCAAGAGAATATGTAAGTACATCCTGTTACAATGATATCTAAAACATCTGTATGTAATTATATTAAAAATATGAAGAATATCTCTATAAATACCCTTTGTTTTTTAAAAACATATCTAATATCTAATTGTCAATATTATCTTGAGAAATCATGAAAGAGATAAGTTATAAAATGTTTGTATTAGTTAAGTTGACAAGTATTAAATATCTTGAATACAGATTTAAGTCAGCTTAAAACATCTGACAGATCAATTAAACCCAGGCCTTATTTACGCAATATGCCTATCCCTGCACTATAAAAATTGCTATGATGTAGTACACTTAATATTTATTTTCTAGAAACTGGATCCTGTAACACTTGAGAGTACAGATGAACAAGTTACTATGATGGATGTGTACCAGGAGTTCAACACTTCAGTGGCCAGTGAACTTGGTCTCAAAGAGTTCAAGTCTCGTAAAATTACAAAAAATTATTGTTTCAATTTACCTGATATACCAGCTCAGTCTGACTACCTAGAAGTAAAGTATTCTGTAAGTATGAATTTATTGTATTTTTCTTTCTTATAGCTTATGATTTAAAATTAATTTCACTGAAATAGGTCTAAAAGTAGCCATGATTATTTGTAATAAGGTCCTAATATTATTCATTTCTGCAATATAATCAATCAAACAATCTTCTATATAAGCAGTTCACTGATTCTTAATATTTTATCAGTGTATCAGTTTATAAAATCAAAGAAAACTTAGCTTTATTATAAAATGTACAGGCAAGCATCCCTCCACCATCGACCGGCAAGAAATACCTGACATTCTCACACATATTTGGAACAAACACTTCATCCTTAGAAACACTCTTATTGGAGAGAAAAATTAAAGGACCATGTTGGTTAGAAATTAGACAACCAGAGAAGGTGCAAGCAAAAGTGTCCTGGTGTAAACTAGAAACAGCATGTAACATAGAACACGTGAATGTCCTCAAAAGCGAAACTAATTTAGAGGCGCCACCTATTGTTGTTGCTACCGTAAGTAAATACTATTAAAGAGAATAAAGAGAATTAGCAAAGAATAATATATTTTATGTTACAATCAACAACCATATATGAACATCTAGTTACCATAGCGACCTAAACACAGATATATAATTACACTGATTTAAGATCACTAGACGTGCCACATACTGGAAGTGCTTCCATAACATTCCCTCTCCTTTTTCAAGCCAAACTCATTATATAACTTTATTAGCCTAGGCTTGTAAACAGGCTTCGTAAGAATATCGGCAAGCTGTTCTTCAGTTGGTACTTCTTCAATAGTAAATTCTCTTTCACATACACAGTGTCTTACATAGAAGTGTATCAGCTTTATGTGTTTTGCTTTATGGTATAGTTTATGGATTATGTACTTATTTGACTGTAGACTCAATGCGTAGAGTAGGCATATTAAGATTAATTTTTAATTTTAAATACCCATTTGCATTGTAATCCTTTTCTGTTCTTTAGCAAATCTGTCATTTTTAATGTCTCATTCTCATATGATGAATTCATTTCTTTATTCATTGCCTCAATCCACTTATCCTTTTCAGGACTGTTTAAGACTTTTTGGTATAAAGATGACTCAGAAACAGATATAGCCTCATTAATAACTTCCTCAAAATTGAATCTCTCAGGGAGTTTAATTCGGTTACGATCACGAAGTTGTCGCCCCATCGTTGCCTCTATTTCATTTTCATCCCTTTCATTATCTTCTTTAAACAATTTAATATTTTCATCCCTACCATTTGTCTCTATAGGTGAATTTAAATGAGTTCCACAATTTGCACAAGGTATTGGTAGTACATATGTTTTATTTCCTACTGGCTCTACATTAGGTTTTTCTGGAGGTTTGTCAATCTTGCGTTTTTCTAGTAAAGATTTCTCATCAAATACTACATCACGTGATCTCATCAATTTCAGATTTTTCACATCGTAAACGCGATATCCTTCATCTCCATCATACCCAATAAGTATTCCTTTCTCGGCTTTACTCTCTAACTTTCTCAATCTTTTCTGTTTTGGGATATGTACATAGCAATTGCATCCTATAATTCTGAGATGATTTATTTTTGGCTTTTTATTATACCATAGCTCATGCGGTGACTTTCCATCTACTGGAGTTGGCCCCGTTCTATTGAGTATATAGACTGCAGCTTTAGATATTTCAGCCCATAAACCTTTTGGTATCTCATTATGAGCATGCATAAGTGCTCTTGACATCTCCACAATTGTACGATTCTCTCCTTCAGCAGAACCATTTTGTTCAGGAGTATATGGCATTGTTAACATTTGCTTTATTCCAAATTCTTTCAAAGTATTACGTACCTGTTCGTTATCAAATTCTCCTCCATTATCGCTCAACAACCCTTGAATGACGTGTCCAGAAGTATTAACTTCAGCTAGAAATTCCTTCAAGCGAGCGTGTACCTCTGACTTGTGTCTCAAAAAGTAGATCCAACGATATTTCGAGTATTGATCTTTAAACAGAACATAATATTTAAATTTTGAAATTGAATAAGAAAATGGTCCACATACGTCTGTGACAATTAGCTCTCCAGGTTTGGTAGCTTTAGGTCTTTCTCCGAACTTCTTTCTGTGGCTCTTGCCGAAGAAACAGCCTTCACAAATGTCAGCAGAACTGGAATCTAGCCTTATTCCAAGCTCTTTTTGTATTAATTTAGCTACATGACGACAATTTTGGTGCCCTAAGCGTTCATGATACAGCTGAAGATTCTGTAGCGTCGATAACTGGTTTGCTTCATTTTTAGGCATTAATAGCTTTACATTTAATTTATATAAACTACCATGCTCCTCACGATTTCCAACTAAAATCACTTTACCATTATTCTTCATACAACATGATCGAGCAGTTGATTGAAAAAGACTATTTTTAAGCACATCTTGCGCAGCTAGTACAGAGAACAAGTTTCGTTGTATACTTGGTACATACCATACATTAGTCAATGTTATCAACTGTTTTTGTCCATTTATATCAGCTTCAAGTTGGATAGAACCTTTGCCAATGGCTTCAATTCCGTCCCCGTTAGCAGTCGTAATTGTATGAGGATCATGAAAGTACTCGAAAGACTGAAATACATCTCTCCTATTAGTTACGTGACTTGTCGCGCCGTTATCTACGTACCATGATTCTTTATGAAGATTTTTATCAGTGCAAGCTAGAGCTAGACCTGTCGACATTACTACATTCGTAGATTGCTTTTGAGGTTTTGGAGGTCTACCATCCGCAATCCACTTTTTACATGACCTGACTTTGTGAAACCCTTCTCCACAATAGTTGCATTTGAACTTTTTCTTCTTACTTTGCTTCTCATTACGTTTCTCACCTCGTACCATAAGAAGTTCATTGCTACTTTCACCTTCATCTATATTTTTCTTTAAAGACCTTTCATATGCGCACAGCTGAGTAGTCAAGTTCTCTATCGTATGATCATTCACTGACATCAAGGCCCAACTAGATTTGAAATTGAAGTACTCCTCAGGAAGTGAATCCATAATTTTACATATCAACAACATCTCTGGTAGTTCGGTCTTGCCTTGTTTCATTAAGATCAGATTTACTTCATGCCATAAATTCTTTGCTGTAGTCAAGTGTGTCCCCATATCGTGAGTAGGATCAAGCTTGTATCCAAAGAATTGCATGCAGACATCATAAAAGCGATCTTGTGATACTCTTTCATAAAGCCGGTTCAGTTCATCCCAAGCTTCTTTAGCTGTAGTAAAACGCATAACTTTGGCGAGCATTTTCTCTGTCATATTGGTGGTGAGTAGTAAAAATGCAGTGCTATTGATTCGCTCATAAGCATCGTACTCTGCTTTATAAGTCGATATAGCTCCCGGTGTGGCAGTGGTACTTGGATGTGTTGGCTTTGTGAGTGTCCCTTGAACCGCTTCCAAGGCTCCGGCGTGTGTTCTCAACAGCATCAACACTTGAAATTTCCAAGTGGTCCAGTTAGTTCCGTCGAACGGTCGAATGTCGAGTTTTACATTTGTAGACATGTTTACACTCTCTCCGAACCTTTGTTCTTTACAAACTATCTATTTACCGAGGTCGCGAACGCTCTGCTACCATATTAAAGAGAATAAAGAGAATTAGCAAAGAATAATATATTTTATGTTACAATCAACAACCATATATGAACATCTAGTTACCATAGCGACCTAAACACAGATATATAATTACACTGATTTAAGATCACTAGACGTGCCACATACTGGAAGTGCTTCCATAACAAATACTCTTTTATTAAAATGATGTTGACCATGATGATTTCTCTGTGTTGTTTAATTCTGTTAGAGTTATTTACTTCCACTAAATGCGGCTCTTCACCGTGGATGACGACTTTGAGAGAAATTCTAATGTTAGTTTAATGTGTGGCTATTTTTAAATTTGTCTAATTTTTTAATTGAAACCTTATTAGTAAGCATCAATTTTACTAAATATGCTCATAACTAATAGTTAGGTAGACTAGTTTCTTAAATACTTATATACAATACAAAGCTAGGCACAATACCACAACTCAATAGTTAAATGCAGAAATCCACACTCTAATTACCTCTTTTCTTTATCAACAATATTTGCTATAATGGTGATCATAACATTTGGGTTATCTAAATTTCACCTAACATATTTGAATTAGAGTTGGTAATAAATTAGTTATTAGGTTTCCAAGCTTCATCACAATTTGTGTAGGAATTTCCATGCATACCGTTTATGTAAAAAGCTAACGAAAATCACTTATCTCTAACTTCGATATAGGGCCCATCTATTGGTATTGAAATTTATTTGATTAATGTTATAAAAATTATGAAATTAATAAATACAATTAATTTAATTATGATATATTTTTTTCATATCTTTTTTGTTCCTATTTTTAGATAAATATGAGAACTACTACGGATCCTAAAACAAGAAAGACTAAAATCTTGATGTTAAGTTGCCTGATACACAACAATTTTCCCATTAATAAATCGCCGCCAAATCCTCCTTTCCAACAGCATTTTTGTGGTAAGTTGTATCCTTTCATATGATAAAACGTTGATAATATTGTAATATACAATTAAACTTTAAAAGGGACAAGTAAATTTACCAAAGAATGAATTTATACATATTATCCTGCATGTACTGTTTTAGGGATTGAACAAAAACAAATGGCAGTGAAATTAATGAGTATCTATTATAACATAAATTTTTTTGTATGAATACATTTAGCACAATTACACTCCCTTCATTCACACAAGGCATGCAGGTGTAGCAGACGTCAATAGATTACGGAAACCTCTTACAATCGGCGGTACATATTGTAATGAATCCTTCATTTTAAAATGTTACTAAAAACGAAACAATAAAAAATATATTATTTTAACCGTTTCCAGTCATGACTAAATGCAATGAAATTTGGCCATTGGATTTTAAACAGACATTTCCACAATATAAAGCAACTAAACTTACGAAATGTGATACGGAAAGAGAACTTCTTAACTATTTCATGGTGCAATTTTGGAAAGCAGACCCAGACTTGGTTGTAGGTCACGATTTGCAAGGGTTTCAACAAGATTTGCTTATTGGAAACATCCTAGATCTTGACATACCAAACTGGTCCCGTTTGGGCAGATTAAAGAGGTCAGTTGCACCAATGAAGAAATTTGCAGGAAAAGATGCATTTCTAGGGCGCCTTGTATGTGATATCAAGATTTCAGCTATGGAACTCATAAGAGCAAGAAGTTTTGATTTAGACACGCTTTGTGTGAATGTTTTGAAAATGAAGGAAGGCGAAAGATTGGATGTCGCTCTCGAAGATTTGCCGCGATATTATGAAAATAGTAGAGACTTGTTCCAGCTTGTTTCTTTGACCATGCAAGATGCCTCTTACATTCTAAAAATCATGTGTGAACTGAATGTTATACCTTTAGCATTACAAATCACACAAATTGCAGGCAATATTTTATCTCGAACTTTATTGGGTGGCAGATCTGAACGGAATGAATTTTTACTTCTCCATGCATTTACAGAGAAGAACTATATTGTACCAGACAAAGTATACGGGAAAAGAGGTAGTAATAATGATAAGGACATTGATGAGAAAGAAGAGACTGTTGTTAAAAAACAAGGGAAGAAGAAGGCTGCATATTCAGGAGGATTAGTACTTGATCCAAAAAAGGGTTTCTATGACCAACTTATATTGCTTATGGATTTCAATTCTTTGTACCCGAGTATTATTCAAGAATACAACATCTGTTTCACAACAATAAAAAGAAAAAGTGCTGCTACTTCTGATGAAGACATAGCGAATCTCGTTCTACCAAACTCCAATACAGAATTTGGCGTCCTTCCCACACAAATTCGGAGACTTGTTGAAAGCAGAAGAGAAGTAAAAAAATTAATGAAATCTCCCGACTTGCCACCAGAACAATACATGCAGTACAACATAAGACAAATGGCTCTCAAGCTGACTGCTAATTCTATGTACGGTTGTCTGGGTTTTACACATTCGAGATTTTACGCTAAACCGCTGGCAGCTCTAGTAACAATGAAAGGCAGGGAAATCCTATTGGATACTAAAGAAATAGTCCAGAAGCTGAATTATGATGTTGTATATGGTGACACGGACAGTTTAATGATTAATACAAATTGCTTAGATTATGATAATGTTTTTAAAATAGGCAATGATTTGAAAAGAGAAATCAACAAAAAATATAAACAAATTGAACTAGATATAGATGGAGTATTTAGATATCTGCTACTTCTAAAGAAGAAGAAATATGCTGCAGTAGTTATCACAAAGAACAAGAATGGGGAATTTGTACTAACACAAGAACATAAAGGTTTAGATATTGTGCGTCGTGATTGGTCACAACTGGCTGCAGAGGCAGGCAAATTCATTTTGAGTCAAATACTTTCAGAACAAACTGCTGATGAAAGACTGGAAAGTATACAGTTGCGTTTAAATAAACTGAAAGAAGATCTGACCACTAACAAAATGCCACTCTCCATGTTAACAATAACAAAACAACTTACAAAAAACCCTAATGAATATGCAGATAAAGTTGCTCAACCTCATGTGCAAGTGGCTCTCAGACTAAACAGTAAAAACAGTAGAAGATTTAAAAAAGGTGATACAGTGCCCTATGTCATTTGTGATGATGGTACAGGTAAATCTGCAACACAGCGGGCCTATCATATTGAAGAATTAAAGAACTCTGAACACCTCAAGATCGACTATAAGTATTACCTTGCACATCAGCTACATCCAGTGATATCGAGAATATGCGAACCAATTGACGGTATGGATCCATCGCGAGTCGCCGACTGTCTAGGATTGGACCCTTCTGGTTACAAACAACTGTTGAAACGAGAGGACACAAACACTGAATCATTTGAAGTGCAGAATGATCAAGAAAAATATAGGTATTGTAAAGACTTCGTCTTCATTTGTGCGAATGAAAATTGTAAGAAGGAAAATAGAATACGAGAGACATTCATAAAATTAGACAAAGAATGTGTCACGTTTTTAGAACATTGCCAGAACGAGACATGTTCAGTTAGACCGTTGAGCTATTTAGCATGTATAAAAAATCAGTTGAGCATGCAAATGCGGCAGTACCATGCGCAATACTATAGTGGCTGGTTATCCTGTGAAGATCCCGCCTGCGGATACCGCAGCGCTCGCTTGCCGCAAACCTTCGTGGCCGGACATCCACTGTGCCGTAACTGCGAAAAGGGTCTAATGTTTCGGGAGTACACAGAGAAAGAATTATACCTGCAGATCAATTTCTTCATGTTCCTTTTTGATCTTAGTAAAGCCAATGCAAGTAAGTATATACTTTTTTTACATATATATATTCATAAGATTTCTAAAATGATATGGAAGAAAAAAGACTTACAATGATGTCATTGAGTAAACTAACAAATTAGCACTCTCGTCACGTCTCGTTTCCTGTTAGTGGCATAATAGGAAACACTAGTCCTTTTCACAAATATATATATATCCTTATCCGCAACGTATAAAGGATAATATTAGCATGTTTTGACATGACAAATATGCTAAATCATCCAAAAATAAAAGTGTGCACAATGCAAGGTAAAATATTTCTGATGTTGCTCACAAAATCCGTATTTTGCTTGTAATGGTGTCTCAATATAACTATTACTGGCATTGCATGTCATATCTATTAGAATGCAGGTACTATTCAAAATTATTCAATTATTTTTTTGAATTTTAAATTGCATTTATAGTGAAAGTAATGCATTCAACTTGCACCAACAGAAGTACTAATATCTATTTGTCTATGTAAAGAATTATGAAATTGTAATTATAAAAGCTTGCGTAAATGAGGGGTATTTGGTTAGGACAGTAGTGTACTTTTGTGAATGTGTGCTTATATCTTTGAATTTCTTCAAAAATGCACGAAGGTTGTGTCTTTGCAGGTCTATATTGTGATAATTATTTTTCAGAAATGCGACTATCACTACAGATAACAGGTGCGTTCCAAGAATTAAAAGAAATGGTGGAAGATTGGCTGGCCCAATCAGCTTACTCTATAATAGATCTCTCAAAATTATTCAGGTTCTTCATCTTAGATACCAAAACTAATAACAAAGGGGAAACAGAAGCACTCGAAATTGACATATTACCTGAAACTGAACAGATAGATGCTCTTTTAGAAATGGGAACCTACTAAGATGTATTTTTTAAAATATCATGTTTACTTATAAAATTAAATAACTAGTAAACTAATAAAATTTTATATTTATAGACAATTTCAATTTTTTTCTTTAAATTAAACAATAAACCTTGTATTACAATAATTAATTTATTGAGTTTCTTAACACACTACACAATTACGACGTTCCACTTCATGTCACAAAAAAAAATACGAAATTAGTAGTAACCCCTGCCGCGGCCTCTCCTGGGACCTCTGCCTCCTCCTCTGCCCCTAAAATTATTCTGCTGCTCGCCAAACTGTAAGTCATAATTGTCTTGCATTATACCATTATTAAAATTACCTCTAGGTGGCCCTTGATTATAACTAGGTTCTGTATCAAAGTTACCATATCCAGATCCTCCTCTAATTAGAGGACCTCTATTATCGTGCATTATAGGTCCTCTGTTACCTTGCATCATAGGACCTCTTTTATCTTGTCCGAAATTACCTCTATTATTTTGCATCAGAAGACCTCTATTATCTTGCATCATAAGACCCCTAGGATCTTGCATATTGGGACCTCTATTACCTTGCATCATAGGACCTCTATCATGTATCATTGGACCTCTATCTTGCATCATAGAGCCTCTATCTTCATTCATAGAACCTCTATCTTCATTCATAAAATCTCTATCTTGCATTATAGGACCTCTATCTTGTATCATAGGTCCTATATCTTGCATCATAAGACCTCTATCTTCATTCATAAGACCTCTATCTTGCATCATAGGCCCTCTATCATCTTGATTAATAAGACCTCTATCTTGCATCATAGGACCTCTATTATCTTGCATCATAGGACCTCTATTATCTTGCATTATAGGACTTCTACCATCTTGCATAGACCTACTGTTCCATGAATCATTCTGAGATTCATTAGAGGTAGATGAACTAACGAGATCACGCAATAAGTTAGACAAGGGCCTCCCAACACTGCTTTGTGGAACAGGCTGTTGTACAACTGAATTAGACTCGGATGATGCCAAGGGAACCTCGGATACATCTCCAAATGATCTAGGTTGTTGACTACTGGAAACAACATCCTCAGCATGCGATGTAATTGACGGCGCCGCCGCAGCAGTAGATTGTATACTCGCCTGAACCAATGCTAAAAGATTAGCAGCGGAAGACATATTCTTCGTAAGATCTGCAATTGACGCGGAAGATTTATCTTGAACTGGTTCGTTTGATTCCTCAATAGACTTTTTCACGATTTCCATTTCTTGGCGTATTTGGTCTTCCTTGACTTTTTGAGTCGCCGACTTAAATATCTGTAATACAATTAAATACAGAATTAGTGAACTGAATGCATCCATTTATAAGATAAAAAAAAATTGCTATGCTCTTTGATCATCATAACTAGATCTCTTACATTATAAAGTTCATAGATTGACATAGAAAAACATAAATATTAGAAAAAAATTACATTGAGCTACATAAAGCTCGAAGCTGATTTGATGGTAGTATGAACAAAATAAATTCTTATTATTTTTAAATTTCAAACTGTAAATTCTTATTATTTTTAACTTGTAAGTGAAACCCACTTCAGTTGGTTAAAATTAAATGTATTGTACTTGGATATAACATAAGAAAACAAAAACTACAAAATTGCACATTTTTCACATAACTACACTGTAAATATTTCTTTAAATGCAATATTGTAAAACAATCTTAGTAATAAAGTTGTATTGTATTAAATAGACGATATATTTATATCATCACTACATAGTATAAAAAAAAGTCGCTGTAGCTGTCTGTCCGTCTCTTTGTATGCTTAATCTTTAAAACTACGCAACGATTTTGAAGCGGTTTTTTTTAATAGATAGAGTAATTCAAGAGGAAGTTTTATATGTATAATACATGCATAATATTGTAGAGAAACACTGATAAATTTAGAGGATTCTAATGTCGTAAATAACATATTTTTTGTGCTTACATTACAAACGCTGGCTGAACCTCACGAGATAAATCAAAATAATGTACTACAGGTATTGTACACCTTAAAAAGGTCAACAAAACAGTCCGCTAATAATCTTTTTCCCCCAATACATAGTACGTTATACTATGCCTATGATACTACTATTTACGAGGGATCAAAAAGTAGTGAGAATGAGATAGAATATAATGACTATTGATAACATAATAATTTATTTTTCTATATAGTCTCCGAGTCTCTCTACACACCAAGTCCAGCGCTTTTCCAAGGCTTTCATCCCTTTAAAAAAAAAAAGTTTTGTCCTGGCCCTGCAAAAAGCTCTTCACGACATTCATCACCTCGTTATCGTCTTCTTACCTATTTCCCCTAAAATATTCTTTCAATTTGGGGAACTTTTTGATCCCTCTTCGTAGTTATATGCGTCCAAAATGGCCGAATAAATATCGCCAGACTTGCAGAGATTTCTTATTTTGAAATAAATTGTTTTTCACTCAAAAACTGCTTTATTATTATAATAAACTTTTAGATGATAGTTCATTTGAATAATATGGTCAGTAATTTTGCGGCAACTCCGTATCTCGAACGTATTCCATTACGTTGACTCATTAACTCAAAATTGAGCCCCGCCAGATAGGGTATTGCGTATCGTTGGACTGTATTTATTGACGTGGGTCAAAATTAAGCGACCAAAAAAGTAAGCCTTCTTCTACTTCTAGAACCAAAAAAGTAAGCCTTCTTCTACTTCTAGAATTCTTTCAACATGGATAACTCGACGGTTTTACTTGCGTTAAATCTCCAAGCCCATTCCACTTTTTTCAGTACTGCGCAATGCAACAACTCATTTTGAAAAAGTGAGTTAATAAATACAACGCAGTAAAATGAATTGACGCAATTGCGCAGCGCAACGCAGTGTTACCCATGTCTAACAGTCAAATAAGGGTAACATTTGAGCTGTTTGTTTTATTAGTTAGGACTAAAGGCCATATATACAAAAAAAAAGCTTTTTTGCCTTGTTTTTAATTTGACGCAATAATTTATTATTTAAGCTTTTAATTACCTCTTCAACTGTATAATCGTCATCATCATCGCTCTCTATAGTGACTGGCTTATTATCATTGTTGTTCTTGTTCGGAACCTCCTCTACGGTTTCGACGGCTGCAGCCGCGCTGACATACTGTCGCAACCTTTCTACGCGCTGAGGCTCTCGTGCTTCCAACTTCTTTAAATAGGCTATAAGACTGTGTTGTTCTTCCGCCGAAAGATCATTGAAGTTTTTGAGCAATGTCTCTAGATCCGAATCTGATAACCCATCCATAGCATCTGGCACGTCTTCTTTCTCGACCCTGTATGCAAAATGTTCATATCTGTTAAAAGAACAAAGTTATTGTGTAGACTTCGTTGACTCGCGGGAGAACTCGGGCTTGCGATGTTAGGAACCGTCGTCGACTTCACAACAGCGCAATTCCCTTTCTTTTTATTAATGTAGTTTTATAAATATTAGTGTTTATGTAATATCAACTTAACTTACTTTTTATCGTTCTCGTCGTAAGCAGACTGCAACATTTGTAAAGCGGATGCAGTTCCGCTCTGCAAGTTTGGTGAATATTTAGGCTTTTCAACTGCACCTATATTTTGAGACTTCTTTTCGGACTCCCTCTTTTTCGCTTCAGCCATTCCTACCACCGCATCGACCAGCTGAGCTAGTTCTTCTGAGGAGACATCGGTTTTGCCCTGGGCAATGAGTGCGGCAGCCATCTGCTGGGCTATTTGGGCGCGGTCCACTTCCCCAATACCGGCTACGGGTACAGCTGCTGTTTTAACTTCAGGTTTTTGCTGAAAAGTAAAATATTCTGATATAGTAAAATAATTCCATATATTATATTTATTCAATACAGTGAGAACTTCAGTCATTACTAGATATTACAATACAGTAAGTAAACCATACTGTGCGAAGTGACGGGTGAATATTACAGCGATGATTAGTTCATCGCTGTAATATTCATCCGCGACCTGTGCAATTCTAGTCTGTGAGAGTTAGCAGACATATTCAAATTCAAATCATCTTTATTCAAACAGACTTGTATTTTTTTTTATTAATCTACCGCATATTATAACACAGTAAGTGAAAAAACCTGTGCGATACGACGAGCGCGCTTATCTGCGGCGTGTAGCGTGGCCGCGGTACGGACGATAGCGGTTCGTACGGCAGCACCGGCTGCCGGTGCTACTAGTCCCGCTTGTGCCGCCCCCTTCAGCTTCTCCTTCGCCGTCTCTATTAGTACCACAGCCGATTCGCGATCAAGTAGATCCTCTGACGAATTTGCATTTTCCTGCACCAATTTACGATTATTATTATATTTTTCTACGTAACCTGAAGCATAACGAGTGTTATTTATTATCTGTCTCCATAGAAATACTTCGAGAAAAACGAGTCAATTTTTTCATACAATTTTACGTGACAAATAGTTATGACTGATTCCTTTATAACTTCTATATTTATTTTGTCTTATAATTTCTACATCTTTTTAATGCGTAAACACTCATTAAATAATACTTCAAGATACATTTTATGCGTAAATATATAGAATACTGATAAAAATATCGAGTCAGCTAATTTGACAATTAGCTAACAAAAAGTTGACCCATTTTTGAGGCTCGATGCTTCATTTATATAATCTAAGATTAAGATATTAAACAGGAACCTTTTCCATTTTAAGCGCTTCAGTGAGTAAATCGAGTATTTTGGGTCCGAGACTGCCGAGATAGTCCTCGAGCGCGACAAGCATGCGTAGGGTAGCGACCACATTCTCCGCGGGCCCGAGGTCGTGCGGCGCGGCGGCGGCGTGCCGCGAGCGGGACGAGCGCGATATCTCGCTGCCGTCCCGGGACCGCCGTCGCACCGACCGCACTTCCGGGATCGAGCCTATCGAATCTATATCGTTATCGGAGTTCCACGGGGATATGCCGTCGTCTCTGTAAAATAATTACAAATAAAACTTAACATTTTTATTATATACAATCCGTACTACTATTATATGAGTAAATCTATAAATTTGTCTATATTCGGTACCTGGTAGATTAAAAAATAAATTATAAGAAATAGAATGAGCAAACATAAACAGAGTTTTTGCAAGTTCTCCATTAAATATGATTATTAAATTCAAGGGTAAGGTTAAAAAAAAAATTGTCGTGCATGAATGACAAAAATATCCTATATTAAGGAAATGATTTTGATTTCTGGAAAAAAGTCTATACATTAATAAAATAAATTAAACTTTTTCGTAATGAATTACGTTACCGCGCAAAGTATAAAAATTTTATACGAAGACTAATATTCTGTTCGGGAAGTTGTTAAATTTTTTATGTTCATGTTAACTATTACTGGATATCGAAGTAGGTATATAAAACGCTATTGAATAAAAACTGTGACTGCCTTTTGCTAAAAACAACTTTTTTTGATAAAATCAGAAACGAAATTGTATAAAGAAAAAATACAGCCAACATCTCACAGGATAATAAATAACTGTAATGATATGCCTTATATCCAAATCTGTTTAGGCATTTATAAGTTAAATGGAATAAAAAACACACACATATGAACCCAGAAAACGCTACACACATTTTTGGGACAGCCATGTAAAAAGTCAACAAGACTAAAATACGATTGGAACATAAGGCAGCTGAGTACATACGGCTTGAGCTCGTCGTCGGAAACGAGCACGGTCTGCATGGAGGGCGCGAGGTCGGGGCGCGGCGCGGGGCTGCGGTTGCGCAGCGGCGCCGCGTCGTCGCGCCGCGACAGCGGGCTGCGGCTGCGGCGCGACGAGCCTGCCCGAGCACGCGATCTGCCACAACGCGTTCATTCAATCAATACTACTAGACAAATTGAACAGCGCCATCTACTCACAGAGTATATATTATGCCCATTAGACGACTAATAATAATACTATTATATTATTTGTATATGTAATATATAAAAACTTATAAACACCCAGACCAATACAAATCGACATATTCATAAAAATGTTTATATTGTGCAAGGCTTGAACCCGCAACCATCGCAAGATAAAACAATGTGTTAAGTCACTGCCGACGTTGTTAAAATATATATGAGTATATGGTATTTTGTAAATATATTATAAAAGTATAAAAAAAAAAACAGAACTATAAGGGTTTTTATTGAAAAACTAATGCAAACAGATGTTTGTATTGTGTGAATACCTAATCGATGAATTATCTAAAGATGAGTTAAACATCTACGCTATCTAGTTGTCATTAGTAATATTTTGTTTATGAACAAAGGCGAATAATAAATAAATATTATAAAAGACACCATATACGATCAAGCCGCTTGAGCCAAGCACGGTATTATTACTGCTTGCAAAACATAGAGAACAGAACAAATTGGTCTATTTTATAAGCAACAAATATTATATACCTATTGGACCGTTTGTGACCTTTATCAATTAATAAAATTCCATTTAAAAACTAAACATACGTTTTATGTTCATCATCGGATGGTGATAAGTTAATGTGCGTGCGCCGCGCGGTGGGGCTGCGATTACGCGATGGCATCACCGAGTCTCGACGCGACAGCGGGCTGCGGCTGCGCCGGTCGCGTCTGGACTCCTCCACGCGAATATGCCCGTGGGTGGGGCTACGGCCTCTGTAATATGATATGTAAGTAATATTATTTGAAGAACATACCAGTGAAACTATTTTAATATCTCGCTTTTTACGATTGCATTGCCAGTAGCACGTGAGTACGTTACACTCTAGTCTATGGTAACAACTACTAACCTGTATATAGGGCTGCGAGTGTACGGCGACCGGCGTCGTTCAGGAGAACGCCTCAACGACGGTCGACGTGAATCCGGAGTTCTAAAACAATTTCCATGATTTAATGTCGTACAATCTTTTTCTTTTTTGATATATTTAACATAGCAATAAAACATACATTAAATAAATAACTTCAATAATGCCCATAATAACTGGTGTGCATGATACAAGTTAATGAAACAAGAAATGTATATAAGACATTTGATACTTAGTTTTCTCTGCACATTCTACAATGGGTTTAGAGTGAAGTTGGACAATTTCTATCAGTAACTTAATTTATATTAAATGCCGCACTTGAGTTTTATTTTTATTTATTTAAAATAAGTACACCAACGGTACACATATACATAAATTAAATAACATTTTTTGTGTAGCATGCTGACATGCATACCTATAGCAGGTGTACACAACATTGACTACATGATTACATGCACATTAATGACAGAATATAATAATATAATTGTATACCACCATAATTGTATAAAAAAAAAAACTCATGGACTACAGTTCAGATCCAATAAGTATAAACTCACCTGCGGTCACGACGGTAATCCGGTGACCGTCGTCTCGGCTCAGGGGATCTCCGCCGAGGTTCGAGGCCTCTTGGATCTGGCGATCTTCTTCTGCGGTCTGGCGAATTCCTTCTCATATTAGGTGACCTCCTTCTAGGATCAGGCGACTTTTTCCTAAGGTCCGGTGATCTTCTTCGTTCTTGCGACTTGTGCGGTTCAGGGGACAAGCGAGTCATATCAGGCGGTGTCAAACACATTTTGCGGTACAGCTCGAGTACTTGAATTTTCAATTCTTCATCATGCAATTCTTTCATACGACCTGTCCAGTATACGATCCATTCAGGTTTAAAATCGTGTTTGGATGGGTCTTTGCCCTCTGAAACAAAGACGGATATCTAGATTATTGGGTCCTTTAGACATTGATAGCGGAAAACATGTCATCACCCATTCCAATAATGCCTATACCGGTCGGATATCTGTATTAATTTTGATCGATTCATTTCAACATTAAATATTGGATAACACACATTTAACATGTTCGATATTGGGCTAGAACAAATATTATAACTAAAATAAATTTTGTTATACCCAACCCTGGTATTAATACATATAACTCATTTCAAGATCAACCATCGACAAATAACAAATGTTTTAATCTGGCGCCACATTCAGCATATTTTCAGTCACCGATTTTTAGGTGCGTTAATAACCACCAACTTAAGCAATCAGCACTGACCATTCGCCGAGTATGGCGCGTCAAATAAGAAAGTTCTGTGCAATTCTTCATTCTCGATCCTCTGTGACGTAATGACGATTTTTATACATTAAATGACCGAGAATAGCGAATTGTGTCCAATATATTGGCGATCCGTTACAAATAAAGTCTTAACTGATCAAATGTACAAACAAAAACTAAAAAAAAGACAGTCAAAAGGAAGTTGTTTTTAAACAATCAAAATTAGCTTTCAACTAAGTTGACTCAAAGCTCAAACTTGATAACTACTAACGGGCTTGTATTTCCTTGTAACGCCTGTTCCAGAACTTCTTCCACTCCTCAGGGTAGAGTGGATGTTTCTCTGGATTTTTCTCGTGGTACGCGAGCATTTTCTTTGCCGAGTCCTCCATTTTATCACGCATGTCCAAAGTTATTTTTACTTTATATTCATAATTTGGTGGTCTTTGCTGTAAGTTTCAAAATTTTATATATGTAAGTATGTATATATACCAAAACAAACATATGCATAAAACTGATAATGATAGACTCACTAAAGGGTATATTAATCATTACAGAATAACTACAATATCCTTATTAAATGTAACGTAGTATGTATTGTGTACAATGTAACTAAATTAGTACCTAATCTCATCTAATATTATTGGAAATAAAAATATTTTATACAATCTCTACATGTCTAATAATAATAAATTTGCTCTTAAAAAGAACCGAGCCGTCTGTGTGCCAATGCAATTACATTATTAAATCCACGGGACCGTCAATTCTATGTAAATATTTATTCTTACGGCTGAAGGAAGTAACTATGTAGTCTATACAAACCTTCTTTTCCGGGGACATCCTCGAGTGGGAGGGCTTGTCGCGGCGCCGATCCGAGTAAGGTTCAAAACGAGACTTCTCGTAGGCGTCGTACTTGCCTCTGTCATATTATATATCAACAATATAATAAGAAATGCAATTAAATGAAATGATATTGCATAAATTTAAAGAATTATGTATATTTGGTTAAAAAACATGTATTTGGATAATAGGATTCATTTATTTTGAATCGATTTTGATAATTTTTATGCGATCGGGTTTATAGCATGGTTGCCACATTCTATCAGGTGAATAGCCTGCTTGCTATTCTATTTTTCTTGCAGTAAAAGAAAAATGTTCTATGCTTCGGATGCAAATCACGAATGAGCTCAAGAAAACTCAACAGAGAGAAGAAGAATTCTTTTATCTCCGAGGCGAGCAATAAGGTAGGGGAAAAATTATGCAAATAGCACAATACCGGAAACGTGTGGGTCGGTCGTCATCCGGCGGGCTCACATCGGAGAGATCGGTTTCGTCGCGACGTACTGCGACTTTCCCTCCACGCTGCACAACAATATAAAGAAACATGTACAATACCGTCAAACAACAGGTACATCAATGACGCTATATGAACTAAATTAGTTTCAGGACAAAAATACTTTAAATTTAGTTTTTAAACTATCAATTTGAATTTTTATTCAGAAATTACTTTAGAAAGTTTGTGATACCATCAGGTGACGTGCGACATATACTATTACTCCTTACTACTACTTATTACTACTTCATAAAACATAAAACCTACTACACTATTGAACTATTTTGACAATTTCTTTCAAATTAGGAATGTAGCATAAAAAAAAAGAGACAAACAGTTCAATAGGTAAAAAAGGCTTAAAAGACGTTGGCATTTTTATGAATAAAAGTGTTTATTGATACCCATTAATTCCTCTCTTTACGTGAATAAGCAAAGTAGATAATTTTTATTTGAGAAATCAGTTCAAGGTATGATAGTACTGATATAGTTAAACAAGGTAAGTTTTTTTAAAAAATAAAAAAAAATCAATACATCCTGTTGTAGGTGTGATTATATGTACTCACATATAGAGGCTTTGTTGGGGCGGCAACCACGGGTGGTGACGGGTCTCTGTTACAGAAATTTCTGGTAATTAAATAAATTATAAATTTACACATCGACAATTATAATTAAAAACAGTGTTACGTGTTGAATAAATTGATTTTATTTCAACTTGAAAAATAAGAGTGTTTATCATAACAAGAAAAAATTGGATAGGAAGACAATCGGAGGCAAAATAGGCGTTAATTAGTATATTCATATAAATTAAAATAACTACTTATGTAAATATTCATGGAAGTATGTGTAAGTCATGCATTTAGGAACTACAAAATATAAACACTCATTACCTTTTATTTAGATTATTTTTATTTAGATCTGAAACAAATATTTTCTCATAAATAACAAATTAAAAAATATTAATGTAAAATAGTCTTTATTCTTTTGTATTGCTAAAGTTGATTTTATTGCTTTTTTTATTTATAATATTAATAAAGACAGCAGGAAAAAACTGGACAAATATTGCTACAGATAAGGAGAAGTGGAAAAATATGGAGGAGGCTTTTACCCTTGGGGACCACTGAAGTGGAGAAAAAGCTATAATAATAATAATAATAATAATAAAACATGTAAAATAGTCAACCTACTTCTGGTGGATATTCCAATTCCGATGACATTTTTGAGTGTACTTTAAAAGACATCTTCATCAATTCTAATAAGATTTTGATTATTATCCTCCCAATATTTATTTTTAATAATGTGGTAAATTTTTTGTATATGTGTATTTTAATTTGTATTTCATGCTACTGTATTTCAGTTAAATTGTTTATATGCCATTGTTTATTTTTATATTTTTGGTGCAATAAAGAGGCAAATAAATAATTGATGTTAATAGTTTAAACTTACTTCCTTGAGCAATAGAATAGATCAGGTCAGTATCTATAACCTCCTCAAAAGTGGATCCAGATTTCTCGGATATGTGTTCACCTTTAAATATCCATTGATGTATAAGGTCTCTGAAAATTAAAACATGACAATAGTTAATTACTACACAAGTATATCATTATGCCAAAAAAATGTCTTAACTGCTTTAAGAGCAGGATTTAATTCAGAAGAATAAAAGAATAAAAAAATCTTCTTGTAAATAAGTGTCCATAGTTATCCTGTGTAATATGTCTTTTCACTTGATAGATTACAAAGTTTTGCAACTGCTCTGTATGTTTCTACTTTTGATTTTTCATTGTACAGGGAATTAAAATCTGCTTTACGCGAATTGTATTATTTCATTCTGTATATTCCTCTAAGTATTGAATTCATCTTGAGCTACTACAATTCTCAATGAAAATGACCAGAGACAAACATTGTATACAACTTATCTGCTTGGGTAGTTCTGTTCCACTCATGAACTCAATGTATAAACATGAACAACACTAAGGAAATCAAAGAATATGCTGCGATATCTATTTCATTGCCATTTTTGAGAACTGTCATAACTCATCCTCTAAACCGAAACACAGCAAGCACAACTGCATCATGGTAAAAACATTAGTGGAACAGAGGTACCAAAGCAGATGAACTTTGCACAAAATTTTCCTCTGGTAAAGGATGAATGTGTAGCATAATGTGATTAATCCACAAATGCTAACTACTTCAATGGTTACGAGTTTATTTTTTTTTAATGAAGGATAATAAAATTGCGCAATGATATACGCTGGCGAAGCTTCAGTGACGGATGATAGGTGAGAATAAAAAAGCAGGTCAGTTAGACCATAATAATGAATACATCTGGAGTTCAGCACGATGGTTTTCAAGGAGACAGTGTGGAGGTCGATCTGACAGGGCATATTGTTAGCAATGGGACTAGTTGTCCACAGGGTTTGTCATTCTACGTTACATAAAAAACTTACTTCTCTTTCTCGTACAGCTCCTTATCAATGTTGACGGGCTTCAATCTGCCGTACTTGTCTTCAATGCAGAGCGATAGCCGGTGGAGTATGACTGAGACAGCTTCGCGGTAGTTCGCTTGTCCACGAAAGCGGTCCAACAGCAATTGCGCTTTGGAGAAGTGACGCGACTGCACAAAACGTTTATTGGACACTTTAACCCTCTTTAAAACAACTGATTTCTCTACTAAATAGTAAACCATTTTTTTTTTTCGTAAAGTTGGTCGTAAGCTTGAATGCTATTCTAAATATCATAAAAAATTAACTTACGATATAGTTGAACCGGTGGCTGTAGCAAGTGAGATGGTTGACGATGGTGCGCGGGTGTCCCTGCTTGAAACACAACGTGCACATGTACGACGGCTCGTAGTGGACCTCCTCAGGTGGGTGCTCGACCAGGTACTCAACGCCTAGCAGCGGCACCCTAATGACAAAACAAAATTGTACATCTATACAGTTTGTACACTATTGTTTGGTTCGCACGAACAACCAGAGGGTCGCAAGAAAGAGTACAAGCCCGTGGTTCGAAGCACATTGGTCACTTTAAGAGAGTTAGACCGAAGACAAAGTGCGCAAACAAGTGTTATAATTACAACTATAGTTCTTTGGGAGGGTATATTAAAATTACATTATAAACGTTTACGGTCTGTTATTTTAAAGTCCATTATCACTTTTATATAAAAAAAAAAAAAAAATAAGATAAATTGAAAATGTAAATTAATAGCAACTATCGTAAAACTTTTGGGTGCCGCAACCGTTTGTGATATCAAGGGGTCAGTCACAAAAAAAAGTATAGGAACACATAACAAATACTCACTTGATACTATCAAGAGTATCCTGTATATGACACCGCACGTCACGATACTTGCTGTATTTCATATCTAATTCTGACAAATTCTTACTCTGGAGCTCGATTTCATCTGTCAACTTCTGCATCACTGTGTCCTTCACTATAACAAGTTATATATTTTTTATAATTTTTAGAGTAAAACTTTAATTACAATTACTATTAGTTGGGTACCTCTGTCATAGTCATTGTTGTTGTTATAAAACCTTTATTGTACATAATTTACATGGGACGCATTAAAAAAATTTATCATAACATATCTGTGCCATGTTTCAGTTTGAAAAGAAGATATGTTGTTGTGTTGTTTGGAATTGTTAATGAAAAAAAATAAACGAAAGGTTATTTAAAACAACAAAAATGAGATTTTTCAATTGTGAGCATGCTGCTGCTGTAGTGGAAATAGATATTTTTATTCATTATATAGTAACTATCGCACTAGTACTGAAAAGTAAGTCTGTTTTTTTTCAAAAATTTAAAAAAACTTTAAAAGGTATATAAATACAATTACAAATTAATGGATTAGGATTGCAAAGGCCATTATACTAAAAAGATAAAGTATACAAGGAACATAAAATAAGGTTTTTAGAAAATATTATGCAACCTCACCTCCAATAGGCTTGGTGATGATACCCTTTTCATTTAGAATATAGGGATGCTCAGTAAATATAGACAATGGCCAGGGCTTTCTTTGACTGATCAGCTTATTTTTGTGCTTCTTTCCCGATAAATGAGTCTGAAATATTTTTAAAATACATTAATTAAATTAAAAATAATTCCATTTTCTCTTTCGTTTATATTAAGTTACATGGGCTAAATTAAAGTTAGACATTCATTGCACATTGAAATGCGATTGATATAGCTATGTACTTCAAAATCTTGTATTCATCATGTGGGACCTAGTATAAATGTTGCCAATATGGGCACATTTGTCCCACTCATGTTACCTATGTTAATCGTTACGAAGGTGTAATAATTTAATCCTCATGAATAACAGTGTATGAGGATTGCTAAAGGCGTCACAATATCTTTTCTAAGATTCTAAAATTTACAGGAGAAGTTCAGCACCTTCTATCAAGTAAGTTAATTACATGTTTGCCATTCCAAGTTAGAATATATAAAAATCCCATGTCACGGTGTTTGTTAACTAACACTAATCTCCAAAACTTCATAAATATGACTGCGAAATTTACTACTTTGTAAAATTTTGACAGACAATTCCGACGTTCATACAATGAGTATTGATAGAGTACAAGTCTAGATCGGGCGACACCAGAGAGCGTTAAAATTCAAAGAGGGAGCGCCACTTATTTTTTTTTTCCTCGTTGTTATAGGAAGCTCTGGGCGACCCATTCTATTTTGCAAAGTAGACCAGCATATAGCAATAGTAAACGACAAGCCCCATAAAGAAAAAAATTGTATGCACCTGTAACACCGACTCGCCGCTGCAGATGACGGCGCAAGGGAAACACAAGTATATCCATTTGCCGGATACATCGCGGCCGCGCCTTTCCACCATGCACCGCTTGCTTCCATCCTCTACTTCGATCTTCAAACTGCTCAGATGTTGTTGAAACTCTTGCTCAGCCTATAGAAATACATTTCAATATTCAATAAATTTTCTATATTAGTCACGTAATTGTAAACCTCTCAGAAAAACAACGTCATCAGAATAATTACCATGTATAATTGAATACATACAAATATTCTGAATTATTTCTATAATAAAAACAACATGGGATAATTTAAAACAAATAAAACAGACCAAGTTTTGCTTTTTATTTTTTTATTCATAAATGTATTTTCAAATAGGTTGTGTGTTCAACTATACTCACCAGACAGCTATACAGAAGATATATAATAATCAAAATACGCAAATCACTTTAAGTACTGACACAAAATATAAAGAAATTCGATAGTGTAGTTTTTTGGAAAGACCGATTGTTAAAATTATGTAATTGTATCGAATCCGGAACCAAATTTGTTAATATTTATCGTTTTGATGAAGTAAATCAAGTCGTTGACGCTCACTTATGCTATGGTAATATTATCGGGCGAAGGTTCTTACTCATAAAAAAAAAGGTAAAAATGACATTTCAATCTATAGCGAACTAATGTCCAGATTATCCTTCAACCAAAGGTCCCTTCGAATACTGTAGCGTTCAAGGACACAATAAATTTTCACTGAACAGTGCGAAGTGCAGTCGCATATTTTTTTTTATACCACTGAGGTGGCAAACAAGCATATGGCCCACTTGATGGTAAGTGGTTACCGTAGCCTACGAACGTCTGCAATACCAGAGGTATTACGAGCGCGTTGCCGACCCTGAAGAAACCTCTTTACCCCTCTTTTGAAGATCCCCATGCTGTAATCTCTTGGGAAAACCTCGGCAGGGAGCTCATTCCATAACCTGAGTGTTCGTGGGAGGAAACATCTCTGAAACCAAGCTGTACGCGTCCATTTAGCCTGAAAAGTCAGTTTATGGACAACATTCAAAATCGCGCCATAGTTGACTAGTTTAACCGTCAAACATATAGTTTGCATACTGTTTTGATTTGAATGCCATGATATGACAGTGAATCACTCAGTACTATGATAGTACGTCTCTCTTTCACAAAATCCTCAATTCCTATATCCTTAAGATCAGTGACGTTCGAACATTACGTCAGGTGTTTTAAACGTATATAAACAGCACTTACCATCTTGTGGGACCGTGTGTTTAATTCGTTGCATAAAATTACAAAAAAAATCGTTGAATCGTCGATAATATGACCACAGCATTACAGTGACTTGTTAACGATATACTAGGTTAGTAATATATCCTGTAAAAATACCATACTATGTATGTAGATACCATACCATGATAGATAAACAATCATGAGGGCTCTATCCTAAAATAAAAAAGCACCGCTGGTATCATCAATAAATTGACCAAAGCATTACAATAAGTGGTCAACGATTTACTAGCTTAATAGTATCTATATAACACATACCGTATTGGGTACGTAAATACCGTACCTAGATACGAGTAAATAATTATGACGGCTGTATCGTAAGAGAATAAAGCTGATAATAACAATATCCTAGCGCATATTAAAATATTGTCGGCAGTGTTATACTAGTACAAGAGACGAAAAAGGGTTTCAGACCTATTTAATGAAAAATAGACCTTATCTAATACTAATTACAGGTACGTTAATTATAACTACATATACGATTGTTATAATTTATTCTAATTGAAATAATGTGTCTTTCGTAATTATATATTTTTTATTTCTAATTAAGAATATATATATATATATATATATATATATATATATATATATATATATATATATATATATATATATATATATAAAAAAGATGCTCGTAATTGAGAAATACTGAAAATAAAATTTATAAGTATTTTTTTTATAAAGGATTATAGACCCCAGTAAACTATCAATAAGCATATACATAAAATAATTACATACTGATCACATATTTCTTTTAAAAAATATTTGATTCTTTTAAGGTACCATAATAAAGTCTGTTATATATATAATCAAAAATTCAGATCAAATTTCAAAGAGTCAGTGGCCGCATGTGGCTCAGGATCGTTCCTTATGGGGGAGACCTATGTTCAGCGGTGGACAGATAATGACCGAGATGACGATGATAAATTAAAAATTTATCAAAATGTTACACAATCGTCATCGATACTCTAAAACCAGACTGGAACCGCATAACACTGTGATTTTCAATGTTTCATTTCAAAGTATCTACTCATATTTCCTATATATACCTAACTACGAATGCGACAACAAATCAGCAATATCCAATAATGTATAATTTGCGTACTGTTTGCGTAATATTACCATGCCTCATTTTATGTGTACAATATCTAGTTTTTCGATAAATAGATATTGGATATTGTACACATAGAACTGTGCATTGTAATATTGGTAACACTTCGATATCTATATATAGGGTTCCACTGGACATCGATGGCGGAGAAAAAGTCATCGCCCATTTTAATTTTGGCCGTTCTGCTCGGATATCTATATTCATTTCGATCGAGTTCTTCATTTCGAATCTAAGAAATCTAGTTTTTTCTACCTTACATACTTATTACTACAAAATCTGCTATGCTTATTCGATGTTGCAAATGTGCACACCCGTCAGCTTTGTATAATATAACTATTTTTTAAAAACAAAAATCACCTCTCGTGTAGCAACGAGGGTAAATCACCCTATAATTTACTCTGAAAAATATCACCTTGACCTTAATGTCTTATAATAACAAAGCACATTTATTTGAGTTTTGTGTTGGTTACTTGGTGGTACCATATGTCAAAAAAATGTGACCACATAATTAATATTTTTACATTTTTTCACGCTCACTTATAGGGCTCATCTTCAACATTTTACAAAATAACCATTATTTAACAAATTTAACAATTTTTTGCTAACACGACTGTATTATTTAAAGTGATATAGAAATAATTAGGTTGCAATACTAGCAATCATGTTATCTAACAAAGTTTTTTTCGCAAATATGAATCATACCATAATGAAATTTATAGAAAATAACTTATTCACACTATTTAAATAAATATTTTTTTTATTAATAAATGTTATATATATATATATATGGATATAATATTATGAAATGTATTTACCTTGGTGCAATTATCATCTATTCCAGGTCTCTTGGGTATTTCAACAACAGAATCTTCATATCCTTCCGCCCCCGGAGGGCAATCAGGAAGATCCATCTTGAGGCACTACACTTGATAGTTTATGACCATCAAACTGTCATAAACTATTGTCACTACAATGAAACTCTTCAGGCTTCAAAGTCTTGAGACTTGTTCAACTGGAAATGAAATCATTGACTATCAAAAAAGCATCTCCACATTTATGTAATATAGCTTAAATATTGTATTACAAACAAATAGATACTTACTCAATGCTTGAAAACATGCTAGGAACATTCATATTATTGTAATAATGTACTATAATGACAAATCTAGACTGTGGTAACACTCTAGATTTGTAATATTATAAAAGACATTATAATTCTATTTAAAAAAAGATTATAATATATATTTTAAATTAATTATACACTATTGTCATGAACGGTTTATATATATAAATATTTTATTAAACACTTATGAGTTTATCTGCAGTAGAAGCATACTTCAGCAGCCAGACATGAAATTAGTAGCTGCTTATCCTTAAATATGGTGATATTATTAAAGCAGTAACTTTGTAATATTTTTATTACTTTACCGATGTAAATGTTTTAGGTTGGTCGCTGCCTTACCTATACTTTTAACACTAGCACTGCAAAGGAAGGTAAATTATACAGGGTAAATTCAAAATTATTAGCATTCTTTTAAAAGAATGTTCTCCCAGTGACACTGTCCCAAAGAAACAAAGGTAAAAAAATGTCAAAAAAAATTTAATGACTTTCAACCCTTATTTCTTAAGGAGAAAAGTTTAGATTCACTGGTCACTCTTAAAATTGTAATATTGATTTTGATTTTAATCTGTATTATCATCAATTTGATTTTAGTTCATTGCAATATCTCATTATAATGCTCAATTATTTATAAATTAAAGCGGGAATGATATGCCTATTCCAATATAGGATAGGCATACAAATTTATGGTTTATTATTTGTATTAGATCTCTGTAGCCTAGAGGTTTACAAATTAAACTAACAAACTTTAGAATGTAAGTAAAAAGCTAGATAACATGAAAAATTGCAAACTTAAACTCTCAAAAAATAGCAAATAATAATTATCAATAATAGTTTAATTTTTTGCATACAATCACAAGAATTGTCTTGTATGCAAACCTAAACCCAAAATCTTTCCAAATTTGAGATGACAACAAATCATATCCAGGTCCCTATTTAAGCAAATCTACTTGGCTACTGCTGCATAACAAAGACCTACATATTATTCCCAATATAGTTTCATGAACCTTGAATACTAGCCCAGCAATTTAACATAACCTCCATGTAATTTTAAAACTTTCTTGTTTTTTCATTTAACATATATAACAGATACCTATGTAGACATATGTAAAATAAATGTGGCTTAAATATTTTCATTTTGAAGTTTGATAATATAAATATTGTAGGTTTTGGAGGGAGATTCAATATCTGTTTTTATAACCATAATTGGATAATCTGTGGAAATCTATGGCTTTGCCAAACATACGGCAAAGGTACATTAATATATAAGAAACTGTATCAATAAACATCACTTTTGTAAACAACATACGCTACTAAAATTCAAAACCAAACTTATAGATCTGCTTGGTCAGTGCATCAATAGTACACTATGTCATTGTGGCAAATAGTGAGGCATTATAGATTGTTAAGGAACTATACTTCTTCTCGCTGAATACTGGAGCATAACATATATACAGCTAATTTATTAATGTCACAAGAAATATAATTATTATTAACTAGCTGATATAAGTTTCAGCTATTTATGTGAATTAGTATATTAAATATCCCATATGCTAAGTTAGAATAAAACCTAACCATCTACCAAATTACATTTAAATCTATTCAGTATTTTTGATAAAAAAGTAACAAATATCCATCCATCCATTTTTACAAACTTACCATTTATAATATTAATTTTTTTTATCTATACATTTCTTACATCGTCATCATTTCTGCCACTCATTGACCACTGCTTGATATAATCTTATACAGTTTGGGAAGAACTGAATTAGATCAGTATTACCACTTTCTTCTTCACACTCACAGTTCTTTCACTTTTTTTCACATTTAACCTCTAATATAATATAAATAAATCTATTAAAATTAAAAAAAAATATTAAATATAGGGTTATGTGTTTCCAACTATAATACCTAATTTAACATAATTAAATATAAATGATTAGATAAATTTTGTTTCACACCATATTTGGCCCTTTGAATTCTTAAGTAAGCACAACTGTGCTGGGACCATTATTCACCAAATTGTCATAAACTCTATCCTCGCCTACCGCCCTTCAATGATAACCAGCTGATGCAGTAAGCCAGTGGCACACGCGGGATTACCATTCTATATTCATTGACTTAAAAAAAAAAATAAGAGTAACATGTTAAAGTATTGTTGTACCTATAATAATTTATTAAGACAGTACAGTTTTTACGGCCGCAGTAAAGTTTTTATGGTAAAAAATATTAGGTCTTCATTGATAAATAAAGACAATAAAGATATCAACAATTAAGCATGTATTACTTACTCACCACATTAAAATCCAGTGAATAGTGCACTATTTAATCACAATATTCCCGCAATATGACTTACACGTATTACAATAACGAATAAATATTCAATCAACTTTAAATATAGACAGCCGACAGTATTGAAGTTGAGTCTGTTTATATCTTTTCAAAATGTGTAATAATCAACATGCACTTATTTTTGACGAAAAGAAATCGGTCCATCCATCCGTCTACATTTCAGTTTATTTAAAAATAAGAAAGAAAAGAAAAATAAAGTAACTGACCTTTCTGAGTTGACGCGACGAATTTTTCAAATGACAATAAATGCAATATCACTAAAACTTCTTTCAAATATTATAAAACAAACGTATGTTGCAGATTCAACATACAACATTAATACTTTTGTAATAGTTAAACCGACGGAAAACTCGTAATATTCTTTTTAGACAATAAAAGCTAAAATCGAATCATCCATCTTGAATTTGTATTATACTTCCATTTTCAGAAAAATTTAATAAAAAAGTAATCTTCGTACGAATGAGAGATAAAATACATTTATTAGTATATAAAACAGAAATAGACAATCGTTGTAAAATTAATCGATTACTTTTATTTTACTTGGTTTAACAAGGTACTCTTTTGTCTATACCAAGACTCTATATACCCTATGCTAAATAAACTGACCATAGAATCAAAAAGCATAGACTATTTTTTTTTTTAAAGATGATATTGAAATGGTAACCCTGCCTACACGGCTATCACGGCCACGGTAAAGTCTAAGAACAAGGAATTACATAGAAGGAATGACAAAATTAAAAATTGTAAATTGTCTGATTGCCTCCTTTCTTCTTATGCAAATATAATTAGTAAAAAAGGACGAAAGATACAACATCAGTTGTATAGGAAATATTTGATATTTCAATTATATTTGCACGAGGCAATAATATGATTTACAGTTTTTATTTTATCATCCCATATCTAAGAACAAGGAACCTGTGTTTTTTTTTTGATGGATGATAATGGAATGGTGACCCCACCCGCGCTATCGGTATACACCGGCGGGGCACCAGTGAGGGATGATAGGTGAGGAGATGAAGTAGGTCAGTTAGCCCATCGTGACGAATTCAACAAGAATTGTTCACGATGGTTTCCAGGGGGAACCACGTGGAGGTCGACCTAATAGGACATATTGCTAGCAATGGGGCTGTCAAACTCCATTACTAACAATTCCTTTCCCCCCAAGGAACCTGTGTAGAAGGAGTGATAAAATTGTAAATTCATAACAGGCTAGTGTATAAAAATATTATACGGCCGTATAACCCTACTAAATAGGGAGGAAAGGGATTATTAGTAATGGAGACTGTGAATTCCATTGCTAGCAATATACCCAACCAGGTCGACCTCCTCGCGGTTCTCCCTGGAAACTATCATGGTTAATTCCTGATGAATTCATCATGATGGGCTAACTGGCTTGCTTTCATTCTCATCTATCACCCTTCACTGGTGCTCCGCCAGCGTATCCCGTTAACCCAAGCGGGGTTACCATACCATTTTCACCCATCAAAAAAAACCCTACCAGTGACTCTTGTCTCCTTTTTCAAATAAAGCACAGTCATCTGAATCTTAGATTGTCGTAATATGTATGATTATAATAAGTTAGGCTCCTATAGTACCAACATCCATCCACAATTCGCATTGTAAGTCTGTATATTGCTCGCTCGTTTTAGATAACACCCAACCAAGCACCCAAACTGCTGAACGGTTAACACTAGGCTCTAAGGAGCGATCTAATAATTTGCCTGAAGATGTCTCGTTTAGAGTTTTTGTTTGTACAAAAGTCGATTGCTTAGGTACCTCTGTCCCATTCGTGTTTCTACCGTGAAGCAGTTGTGTTTGAATGCCTGTGTTTCGGTTTAAAGGGTGGGATATGGCGTGAATTTACAGGGTACAGAGGAATAACACCTGAGTCCTCAGGAATGGCAACGCATGGGAGGTATCATGGGCGAAACAGTCTATAGGCGACGGTTACCACTTTCCATGAGGTGGGCCGTCAGCTTGTTTGTCATTCTAAGTTGTATAAAAAAAAAAGTAAGAAACGTATCGTGAAACTTGCGTGAAAAAAAATGTCAATCGGACATTGATAGCTAATATGGTGGGTTGTGGAACTTTTGGTAGTAATAGTAGTGGCCAATCTTCGAGTGTTGGCAGTTACACACATAATTCTAATCAAATAATCAGTGATATGGACCTCCGCAAGATAACTGTTTGTTCAATTAAATATCACGGACAATTCATTATATACCTAATCAGCGAGTCGTTTAGACTATGAGCTATTGCTTATAGTGTAAATGGTTCCCTGGCAGAGCAGGGGGAAAGAGATTATATAAATAGAATCTAACAGCCCCATTGCTAGAAATATACTCTGTCAGGTTGATTTTCACATGTTCCTTCTCAAAATTATTGTGATTAATTCTTACTGAATTTATCACGATGGCCTGACCTGCCTTCATTGTCACCTTGCTTATTTCACTGGTCAGCTGTCAGCACCAATACTGATGGTATAAGCGAAGTTATCATTTTATTTTCTTCTGATAAAAATAGGCAATACATTTATTAATTTTTTTAATCATTTCATCAATCAATCAATTTTATTATATTTTCCAGTTGCATGACTCAGACATGACTTTTCCCATAGTTGAAAATCCCGCTTACATCTTGAGGTAGACAACAAAGAACGCTACGGAGAGCACGACCCACCCGATGGGTGAACGGGCGGCGCCGATAGTACCTAATTTATAATATAAGATGCATAATACTGCAATCGCATGCACTTAGCTATCGAGAAAAAAAAACAAATTTTACAAATTTTTTATGATACTTAATTATCTATGTAAAACTAGGCCGCCTTTGTGGCATAAAATTTTGCAATTTTTTATATTACAAAGGTTACCTAATAAGTAGGCTTAGGTCTCGCCTGATAGTATACGGTTTAATAACCGTATACTATCATATACAAGTAACCTTGTTGCAAATTACAACATCAACAACGTTTTGCGTACATTGTCGACCGTAAAAATCTATTCACTAAATATAATACAGATTCGATATCTTTCCCAAGATTGTGCATAAATCTCTCAACCGATTCAAATTTTACATAAGATTTATTAAAGCATGACTTAACGGCGCCCTGTCGGTATACCTTATGTAGGTAGGTACAAACTATGAATCACAATAGTCGATTCGCAAATCTTTACGCACCACACACTGAGGGCATTCACCGAAAACCCTCTTCTTAAATGTTAATTAGGTACGAAGATTAGCTTAAAGCGATCCCAGAGTCGTGGTCAGCGAAGCGGACTCAGAGCCGCGGACACGATGAGTGGAAACGGACGCGCGGCGACCACGAGCAAAGCACTATTCTCACGTTTGTTCTGCATTCACTTGTTTGTTACATACGCAACATGCACCGACTACGGTGTTCCTATTGAAATAAAGATATGGGACAATGGTCGAACACCCTTAGCTCATATGGTGGACGTTACAAACGGATTTGGTTTAAAAGTGCTAGCCGAACATAACTTTTTAAATGACAATAACATTGCCTTCTCACCCTACGGATTGATGGGTATCCTGGTCGCACTATACGAAGGGGTGGATGGGGAGTCCTCATATCAGATTCAACGGGGAATGCAGTTACCTTGGAACAGGAACGTTATGCGGATTGGCTTTAGAGATATACATCGGACATTAAAAGTGAGTCGTATCGTATTTATTTATATAGTTACTTTAATACATAATTAATATTGCATTTAAATATTTTTAAGCGACTTCTTTATTCTAGATTCTGTATTTTTTATCGAAATATTATACGCTCAAATTATAGTTATACGATACTTTTTCCAAATCTGAACCAATTTGTATAATTTGATATAGTATAGCAAAAACTACTAAGATCATAAACAGTAAACTAAACACTTTCTAAATACAAATGTTTTAGATAAATATTGATTGATATATATACCTAATTTTAGATCTACATCAATGCGTTTAGTAAGTTTTAGAAATCTTAAGATTTATCTTATTTTAAAATAACAATAGAAAGATTATTACTACTAAATTTGTCCAGATTGAAGACACTTTTGTTTGCATTTGTCGCATTTTAACGAAATCTTACTTTAATATAAAATTTTCACCTAAACATAGTACGAGTATTATATTCGTAGCTCCGTAGAATAGGAGTAAATAAGTTTATTAATTTATTAAGTATATAATAATCTTTGTTGATATTATACTTATTCATCATTTTACTAAAAATATAAATGTATTTCATTGCACTCTCAGGGAGCAATGAAACAAAACCGATTGTTATTTATAAGTGATCTGTAACTAAAATGCTTGAAAAGTGCCAACTATAATGGCCAGGAACTACAGCATTTATTAACTTTGGTTAATGATCACATAACTTCCGCTCGTAATAATTTCCTCTGTAATAAACCCTTGATTACGAATTTATAATTATAATAAACAAACAGATCCCATCATCCCAAGGGCAAAAGCCTTCCTTCCCACTTTCCACTATTTCGGATCTTAGATATCTAACACAAAGAAATTCTTTATATTGTGATAATACTAAGTAACTCAAACTAACCAGCAATGTCATTATCCATTTTATATTAATAAATTATAGTATCATGACTTTACCTTAATTAAAATATATATATATACATACACTGTAACAGCTTTGTAGTAAAAATCTGTTGCAACATAAGTTAATATAAACATAAAAGTATAATAAACTGCCGGCTAAAAGAGCCAGTAGTTTTATACATTTTTCTATGTTAACATTATTGTATGACGCCAAAAGTAAACCGCAGTTGCCTTTTTTAATAATAATTTATTTTTATCATGCAACACATATGACTGTTCACAATTCTTTGTGAAAAATTTCTGGAGTACAGTCACACACAGAGATCCTAGACTATTAAAAAAAGTTTGTCGCCTTAATTAGCCCCACCAAGAATATAATTCGTGTGTATTACTGTACCACGGTGATCGTTATAAATAAACAAAATAGATAGTTTGAGTCGCTTTTATTACAAATTACTTTACTAAGTTAAAACTAAAATCCTACCACCTTGAATTCAAATACAAGTATACTAAGAAATATGTACGGCCATTTCGAACGAAGTGTTACGATCATTACAATAGTTGGAAAAATATTACTGTCTACCCCATCAAAATCACAGTCGCTATGATTATTTATATTTAGACGCCTACTTTGTTACAAAAAAATATATCTTAGTTGCATTATTTCAGACATACTTTATTCCTGAAGAGGGATTTCTCGCGGGTTTAGCACTTAACAACGAGAATGTAACTTTCAATGACAACTATAAAAAGATATTACGATTTTATGGGTTTGATCTTGAAAATGATCAGTTACCAACCTTCGCCCCTGGAACCAATAATAGCACAAATGAAACAACAACAACCATTCCTCCATCATCGAGTTCAGATGTAGCCTCTACTACATCAAGCTCAACGGCGGCTACTGCGACAACTGAAAGCGCTACGACTGGCGAACAAGCATCCTCAACACCAAATAGAGAAGAAACAACTACTAATCCGAATGCAGAAACTATAAACGATATTGACATCCGAGGACCAACACCAACCACAACAATGGGCCCAGATTCTGCATCAAATGCTGAAACTACAACGAATCCTGAGGGATCTACCGTACTTAATACTACAGTAGAACAATCAACTACACCTACACCATCACAAAGCATAACTACAGAAACAACTATACAAACAATCACGACAGCAGCCACAAATGAATTAATGACAAGTTCTACTAATGTTGAGACAACATCGACAACATTTGCCGTTCCTGAGACATTATCTACGATATTAACTTCAACTGATGTCGATACAACACTTATTCAAACTACGTCAATAGGTACTACAATGACACTAAATGATGAATCTACTATGAACAATGAAGTAGGTACTAGGACGACAAGAGATATGACGATGAGTACAGTAGAAAATACGCCAGAAATGTCTGCAACCACGTCTACGATGACTGCAAATGACAACACCCAAACGGATACTACAACACTAACACAATCAACCGAGCAAATATCTACTTCCACCGATATAGCTACTACTACTTTTGAAACAACAACAATTAATGAATCAACATTGGAAACGTTGGAACGTCGCAAAAAGTCAATTGTAGATTTCATATTCACAAATCCACCTTACATAGACGATTATTTGGTATATAAATCATATGATATTGGTCCCAGCTCCGAATTATCACCAAACTTTGATGATAGTACAAATTTCTTAGCGAATGGATTAAAGAGCGTTCAGGTTAGTATAAACGATAACAGCACTCAGAATTATACTGCAAAACATTTTTATTTGTTTACGCATGCATTACACAGAAATTATTATATTAAATTTTGATATAAAAATCTGGATTAATTGTAGATTGTCTTAGTAATCACATCAAATCTAAAAAAGTTGGTATTTTCATCCATCATTAACTAAACAAAAAATCTACTCTCTCATCTAGCGACATCTTTTTTTCAAAACAGGTTACATACATGCATTACGACACAATACTGGAGCACGCGTACCTGCCACACTTAGAGGCTTCAGCATTGAGACTACCTCTGGACAGTGACAGATATTATCTACTAGTCGTACTACCAATGCGCGGTGGTGTGCCAGAGTTGGGCAGGCTGCTATCGAGGATGGCGCGAGAGTCTGACCTCTCCGATGTATACTCGGCACTGCGCCCGCGGCGGGTTCGCGCGATTGTGCCGAGCTTTACAGTCAAAGGTCACGTTACACTTACTACAGATTTGCAAAAGGTAAATGTAATAAATAACTAAAACAGCATATGACGCACCACTACAGAGACATCTAAAGAATAAACTTCAATAAAATGATAACAAAAAGCAATAATTTACCTATTTATGATATCTATGTCAGTACGAATGCTCTAACAAGCTAACCCCAACTTAATTCAGAAAGTACGGGCATTTAAAGTCTACAAGCTGTGAATTTGTAAGTCATGCAATTAAAATATGAATTTCAATAATATTTTTATTATGAGCAATTGTAAAATATCTTTGAAGAAATACGTAGGTACAATGTACTTTGGTATCTACTACTTAATAAGCATTTAAACGAACTATATAATATCTATCGTTTCTAGACATCTAGTCCCACCTATTTCGGGTATACATTGATCATTCAGATTATTCATTATAAGATATAAAAAAATATATTTTCAGTTATCTAGCATAACATACTAGATAACTGACCCCGAAATACCCAAATCAGCCCTTTGCACCTATGCTCTCACATCGTCCGTTTTTTGGTTGCTTACAGTATTTGTCAATATTCTACACTACCTAATATTTTGAACAACGAATTATTGACTCTTGTAGAGCAGTATTCTATAAGTGATTATGTATCTATGAATCAAATAAAATACTTATAACTCAATTTATGAGGCCAACATTCAACATCACAATTAACATACCTACTAATTATTATGCATGTAGGTTAACGCGCCCACATACCTATCTCTATTTCGATAAGTACCAAACACGTAAAACATTGTTTTTAAATGACGATGATTTTTATATTTCTGTGTTGATCCCATCTTACTAATTTTGTCAAGTAAGATCCAATTTTATCATGAAATAAAATCGTTTTAATGAAATTGACGATAAAATATAGAAATGTACATCCGTGACTAGGAACTTTTTTAACTTTTCATAAAAAAAATTATGTATTTAGTTAATTATTAACTTCTCCAAAGTAGAGAAAAATCGATTTAGTAAAAGATATTTAGTTTCATATTAATATTTTCATATTTCATATAATTGTAGTCGGAAAAGATAAAACAACAAGAAAATCAGCGATACATACCAAGAAAATATAATGGGTGTCACAGTCTGTCTTGGTGCAAGCTCGAGTCTATAGACGACGATTACCATTTTTCGTGAGCACCACCAGACTGTTTTAGTCTGTGCCTTCGCTGAGTTTTTTTAGAATACTATCAAAATTTTGCCCCCGAATGCCAGATAACCTAAGATCGTTTTATTGATTTCAGCTGGGTATCCGCGACGTGTTTGAGCCAAGGCAACGCGACTTTTCACCCATGACACACCAGGCCGGCGTATACGTGCGAAGCATTGAGCAGGCAGTCTCCGTTGCCATCCGAAAGTACCGGCCCGACGACCAGAAAAAGAACAGTGAGTATCCGTATCGATCGATACGGCAATAAATTAACTGATAACTTTCGCCAAAAGTGTCACACTTGTAAAAAATCGTATCGAATCGAGCACAAAGTGTCTAAATGTGTAATTTTGGCCATATATATATCATTTTTTTTATGGATGATAATGGAACTCCACCAGTACTATTGGTATAGACTAGCGGGGCACCAGTGAATGATGATAAGTAAGGATGAAGAAGATCAGTTGAATTCTATATGAATTATTCACGATGGTTTCCAGCGTGAACTACGTAAAGATCGACCTGATAGGGCTATATTATTTATTACTAGCAAAGGGGTTGCTAAAATCCATTACTAACAATTTCTTTACCCCCAAAATATCAGCGTTAGTAAACGCTCACAAGTGGAGAAAGCACTTACGATAGGTTTCCCAAATAACAATCGAATCGTTTGATGATTTCTTTACCGGTCATTCTTTCTACCCATGCAGCGTATCTGTATGGGTAGAAAGAATGACACCTGACGTTGTTATCGCGTTCATATGTACATGCGGTAGCCGAAACGTATCTATCGATAGATTTTTTGCTACGTGTCTAGGGGAAACGAATTTGAAGAAATATAATGGATACTACAGTTTATACTCGTACCTACTACCAAGATAGAGAAGTACATGTTAAATGTCTTTCGACATTGATAGGGCCTTTTATTCTTTACTAACTTTCATGCGTGACTTCGTTCATGTGATCGGGATATGAATGAATAAATGAGTATACTTTATTTGTATTATTCAGCATAGAGAAAAAACACGACAATTAATAAATGTAATGATACAAATGTATAAGTTCAATAAGGCGATCTTATTGTTGAAAGGGATATGTTTACTGACCACGCCAAAAGTTGCCTATATCCTTCTCCATTCCATAAAGTACACATAAATAATCAGATAATAAAATACCTATATTAAATTTCATAGTTATTGGTTAAGCCGTTAAGGTGCTATAAAATAACAAACAAACACAATATCACATATAATATTAGTATGTATTCTGAGAATTAGAACTATAAAGTTTCTACTGTAGAATAGGTTGTTACAGTTAGTTCATAATATTATGTTATTTACACAACACTTACGGACTAAAATTTACGACGAGAATTGTCTCTCAAAGAGAAGTCGAGGCGAATATAAAGAGATCTTGTTCATGAGCAAAATTTCCTCGTTTGCGCAGACCATTAAAACCTTGAACCTTACTCCTAATAACCCTACTCCTCATAGCCACCAACCAATTGTAGCTCACAAAAAAGGAACTGACCGGATCGTCACAAGTAGATATAACTCAAATACAAAAACAGTCGTAAAACAAAAGAGGTTATTGTAAATACAAAAAAATAAACATTTCCTTTGTTGGTTGGTTGGCAGCCTGAGACGCCAAGACGCCCGGTCCCTGTGGTTCCGGTGCGATCCATTTAATTACATACGTAACGGCTGTGGTCAGACACCCACCATTATGGTCGGACGAGATTGTACGGCGCGGTGCGTGGCGCGGGGTCAACCACAAGACCAGCGACAAGCGGCAAGCGCTTGTCGCCGTCATGGCCCGACGCACGCATCGCCGGAAAATCCTTGAGTGACATTGACGCGCTCCGAAAATTTACAAAATTGATTTTCCACAATTAATTCAATTGAACACCATGAAGGTCACATGACTAGGTGGATATAATTAGTTTGAACACCTATGTATCATCTAAAAATAAAATTCATTACAGTTATTCAGGGCCTAATGATGATGATAAGGGGTGCGGACAATATGCAAGGGATTCCTAAACGTGACAATCCTGGTAGGGTTGCCTAATTGTTTACTTTCTTTGCCAATATCATAATAGTAAAAGTGACTTTGTCGCCTATTAATACCTTAACAGTTTAACCAATCATTATGAAATTTGGTATACGTGTACTATATGGAATAGAGAATGTTATAGGCTACTTTTTATGGCGGTCAATGAAGACAACCCAATCACGCAGACTAAGTCGCGTGTAAAAGCTAGTTCTTTATATTAATATGACAAATTTAATGCATAAAATCTTTAATAAAGTGGATCAAATTTTTTCTTCACTATACATATAAGTCGATTGAATTCACATTGCCCTATCGGACATTTCTTTATCAGTAAGTACGAATAGGTGCATCCTGGCATAAGATCTAAGAAATTCTGTAGAAAATAGTGGAGCGCAAACAACCCAAAATACATTTTTGCATCCTATCTTAGAAATGCTTAAAACCACCCTGGTAATTCGTTTCTGTAATGTGTATCAATGTTGTTGCGGCATCACAATAAATCTGTAAAACGGTATTTGCGAAAAATGTTTAGTGCCCTTGTTTTCCAGTGCAAGAACTTAGATAATTGTTATCAAACGCAAAAGTGAGGTGCTAAGTGGAGTGCGCGAGCGCGCAGCAACCATTGTTTCTGCGCTTGCGGTGGCGCAACACGGCGACACGCGCATTTGCGTCCATTGATGCGCCGCGCCGCCGCGCTGCTCTCTCGCCATTTGGCATACACCGGCAATTAGGGAAATCGTCCGGTACAGTAGGTATAGGTATTGACATTACTGCGACCTGAATGCCTAATCGCGAGATGAAAATTATGATTTGCAGATAGATAGTTTCAATTACATAAATGAGTATAACTGGAAGAATTACCGAATGATTATTTCCTGTTGGTACAGTATAGTCAGACTATTTTGTTTCAACGATTATGATAAGCATCGGATGCATTCAATCCACAAGGACGATTATTATGAAACGTTTGGATTGTCGCATGTCGCCGAATTGCGGATTTGGGTGAATATAGAATCATTCATAATATGCCTACCTGCTGAATAATTATGGATTGTATAGTAATAAGCAATTAAGCAAGTGTTTTATTGCTTTATAATTAACTTAAACAAACATCTCAAATACCGAAACTTACTTTAGTTGATTTTCTCCTCCTAGCTTATCAGGTTGATATCCATGCGGGTCCTTCTAGAAATAATTATCGTCAATTCCTCTTGAATTCGCCACGATGGGCTGAATTCATTCACAAATTATATTAAAAAAAAATACAGCACACCAAGAACATGACATGGTAGGGCATGACATAGCATATTATTTTTACAAAGTGAAACACGTAATTACAGAAGGGGTAGGGAGTAGCAATACCACCGGTTGCTACTTCCCATTGCTAACGATATCGAATATAAATTTGAAAACCCCCGTTGAAAATTATAGTGAATGTGATGCACACGCCTCGTCTAATGACATTAAGTAACCATACTATATGAACGAAAGAACAAGTTAGGTCAACTGCGCATTTCACATTCCTCTTACCCACAAATCTACTATATATTATAATTAAAGTACGTATTAAAGTCTGTTTAATTTATAAATCATTATATATATATATTCGAACCTATTCGTAGGACTAAGGAAAAGGTCACAAAATTTTGAACAATTTTTTTTTAATTAAGTTATATTCAGTTGATGACAGCTGAGGATTTTTTGTCAATAAAATAATGTATGTTTACTATTGCAATATTGTTACAGGATACGTAAGTAACCATCAGCCGGTGAGGTTCTCCGCCACATATCCTTTTCTCTACTTCGTGATGGACGCCAGCATACATGTAGCTCTCATGGCTGGCAAAATGGTCGATCCACTCAATACAAGGATATTATAGTCGATGTTTATTTAAAATTGTTTTATTGACTAATCCACTTATAACCCCTAACGATTATTACGACTATTCTTTCTGATCTGTGATATTTTTAAACGTAAAAATATTTCAAGCTTCAAAAAAAATAACAAGCTAAGATTGAAATTTAAGTTTTTATAGAATTTGTAGAAAAGATACTTCATTTCATTCTAATAAAGACCCAAATGTCAATCTACTATATTTATATACTTCTGTCATTGTACTTTTCAGTCTATCAGTAGGTACGTTATATGTAAAATATTTATTGCTATAGGTATACAAATACCATTTAAATAAAAGAAGTTATATGTGTTTTTACATTTATTTTTTTACATTACACTTTTACTTAGCCCTCTTGGATTTGATCTTCCTCAAGTAAAATTCCAATTCTTTACCTTCCAGCACGTAGCCATCAGCGCGACCGCACTGGCCCGGCCGGCTGGCCACGCACGCTGCAATCAATTTCACACTTATTAGATATACATTTTCGATATATCAATACATAACAATATTAATAAAATAATCAGAGTAACTATGACAAAGTAGATCATACAACTGCTGGATTGCTCCCAAAACGGTTACATTCCATTGTTGCAGTCTCAAAACTTCTCGATTTCATCATATTAAATTGACCAGGGTGTAAGATAAGACGAATTCAATGAGCGTGCTTATGTGGCTGGCTGATGTACTAAATTTCATTCAAATCCATTCATTTTAAGTGTATCAAACAATACACATCATCTTTAAAAACTTTCAGTAATAATTTATTAGATTCTTTTCTTAATTTAACTAAGTCCATGTTTTTTACTATTATAGTCTATTATAGTATTGTAGTATTATAGTCTTTTCGGTAAGTGGAATTTTTATATTAAAAAAAAAGAAAATTTGCATATTTGAAATAAACATTTAAATACAGAAATATTTTATGTTTGTAGGAAATCAGAATACGAACCTAACAAACGTCCTGTATGAAACTGCTCTTCAAGAGCCGCTTCAACCTTGGAGAGGCGTTGCCTCGATACATATTTCTTTGCTGTCTTCTTGCTGCGCTTTTTGTTAATGATGGCATCTTCCGCCTCAGTCTAAAAAAAATAAATTAAAATATAATAAACACATTGACTTGTACCATCAATGTGGTTCAGTATTGTCTAAGATAAAAACTACTTATTTCAGTATTAGCTGCAAAATCATGCCTATTCCTAGGAATCATATGACACGCAAAAAATATCATCATTTTGATAATTAATTTAAAATAAAGATTTCCTTGACCAATAAAAAAAAAAAATAGTTAACAGAATAACTATCTTCAATATAAATAAATTTGACTTTTATTTTAGAAAAAAAAATGCATAGAGTAACTAAATAAATATTTTTTTTTTATACAACTCAGAATGGCAAACAAGCTGACGGCCCACCTGATGGAAAGTGGTAACCGTCGCCTATAGACATGAGCAGTACCATGGACATTACAGAGTATACTGTTTCGCCAATGATACTCCCCATGCGTTGCCATTCCTGAGGACTCAGGTGTTATGCCTCTGTACCCAGTAAATTCACGCCATATGCCACTCTTCAAACCGAAACACAGCCATGCAAACACAACTGCTTCACGGTTGAAACACGAGTGGGACAGAGGTACCCAAGCAATCAACTTTTGTACAAAGTCTCCCTACGATAAAAAATATTAACACATTAAATAATTTACATAAGAAACTGTATTATGTAAACTAATAATTTATCAAATAAAAATATCAACAATTCTTATTATTTTATTTATTAACCTATTAGTTACAAAAAAAGAATATCACATCTTTTGTGACTAATTTAGTTTCATATCATAAGCATAGTTTCATAATAGGAAAAATAATTTAATATGGAGTGAAACATTTAATTTCTATACTAATTTAGTTTTGGTGGGGCCTGAAAAGCAATTTTTATAAAAAATAACTCACCAACTTAGCACCCTTCTTTCTTCCGAGTGGCAGAAGGTAATGAGACTCATACCACTGCCTAAAGGGTGTTGCATCTACCACAACAATAGCATTTTTCACAAGTGTTTTAGTTCGCACCAATTCATTGTTAGATGCATTGTATACTACATCAATGATACGTGTTTTACGGGTAGAGCCTGAAATATACAACAAACAAAACTATTAATAATGAATGAGACAAGACAACACTTTTAATATAATAGTTATTGGTAGTTAAAGTCCCCCAAGTCTAGAAACAATATTATGTAGTATGTAATAAGATTCTTTGTTGCATGATATACATTTGAAAATTAACAATATTCAAAATGTTCTCAGATGTCAGATTTCTTCAAAAATGCAAGGCATTTATGACATGTTAAGAACATGTAGGAAATGCCAAACCAGAAGGAGACTATACAAAAGTCATTTGCTTGGGTACCTCTGTCCCATTCATGTTTCTACCGTGAAGCAGTTGTTTGCATGGCTGTGTTTCAGTTTGAAGGGTGGGATATGATGTGAATTTACAGAGTACAGAGGAATAACACCTAAGTCCTCAGGAATGGCAATGCATGGGGAGTATCATGGGTGAAACTCCAGATTAGTAGAAATACATACTGATATATAGAGTAGATAAATTAAAAGTATTATATTATTTAAAGACTGTATTAAAGATTATAGTAGTATAGATTAAAAGAGTATATTTTCACTTACATTCAGAGCCCCATGAAAAATTTCCAGAGTCCAGGCGAAGAGCGCGGTATTTAACATTGCCACCGCGGGATCGCACTAGATGTATACGTTGAGCGCCAAGCTGAATAAAATAGCATAATCACAATTATACATTTTAAGTTTTATATATTTGCGATGATATTTAGATCAAAACTAGATGCAATTTAGATCATAAACTAGTGAACAACGAGACATTTTGATAAAAGAGGTTATAACTTACCTTAGTGTTGGCAGCCGGACGACCTAGCTCATACTTCCTCTTCTTGCGAATGGGGGCACGCTTGCCACCCGTGGCCCTCCGTTTATGCCAGTGATCACGACTAATACCTATAAAGAAAAACGATGGAAAGATCACCAATCACTCCACAATAAAATAACAAGGTGTTAACCTCAGTTTTCCATAATAAACATTAAATAATATAATCAAATATAAACACACATGACACCAATTTATTAAATAGTATAAATTACATTAAGAAAATGGGCAAAATAACAGGACTTAATACGAGATTTGAATAGATTTTTATTATAATTATAGAAGGCACTCACCCATCTTGGTTGAGCCGAAAAGAGAAAGATTAATTTGACAGACGGAACTAATAATAAACTACTGACAGTCTGTACTCTATGGTTGATTGTCTGTTTTAGTTTATGGTTAGAAACACTTTCAGACTGGTTTTTTAGTAAATTCCAATTTTATGTACCACGGTTGGAAGAAATAATATTTTCTTCGAAAATTCTTATAATATATTGTTATCAATAAATAATTTTTCGAAGACATTAATTTATTGTTATAAAACAAAATCCAAAGGACTGCTTGGAAAGGGCGCCCTTTTAAGTAAAAATATAGCACTCGTGACACACTTCACTTAAATAAAGTTAATCATAATTATTCGACTAAGAATAACAGAAACTTCTCTTATAACTAACAAATAAGTGAATTCACAACGCACACAGCTTACAAAAACATGGCAAGCAAATCAAATGACAAAACACAAACAAAACAATCACAAAATTATGTGAGATTTGAAATTGGAATAAAAATATTTCATAAAAATATAATAGTATTAGAGAAGATAGGTTCAGTAAACAATCCTATTAAAAAAAAATAATGATTTATATATTTCCTCTTGTTTCTCACTAGAATTTGAATTAAATATTAACATTAGTAAAGACGATCCAAATGCAAGTATCATATTTAACTCATATGGATATCAATAAAAAAAACCACCAATCATATTTTTTGTGTTCCATTTAAGCATGGCCCATTTAAATGTATTAGTGTTGGAGTTTACCCTAATCAATTCAATATAGCTCAAAAAATTAAATTTTCTCTTGAAACATTTATTTTTACAAGAGAGTTTCTTGGTATATTTAAAGCCATAGACTATCTTCTGACTATGAACTTACTACTATAACTAACTTACTGACTATAACTTAAATCAGCAATCAACAGTGCTTGCTTAAGTGCTTTACAATCACTACTGCAGTTTCCATTAAAATTAAATAAAGTTTACTCGATTATTATAGAAATAAGAAGATTATTGCAGATATGTCTTTGCAGAGGGTAATTGGTCTCTTTCGTTTGGATGCAAGGCCACTGTGGTTTTCAAGAAAATATTACCGCAGATAAACTCATTAATGAGGCTATTGGATGTGGTGATATCTTTTCTTATATAATTTTCACTTGGCTTTACCTGGCTTCTTCCTCCGAAATACTTGGAATGAATCTTGACTTATTAGCTGTCAAATTAAGGCCCACCATTATTTTAGTATTCAGCCTGTTATCCCCTGTAAGCCATAATTTTATCGGATTAATAACATTAATACACGTGCTACAACTTTTATTATTAGGATGAGACTTAGCCATATGGCTTAGACATATGGCTACAAAATTCTCCTAAATTGTCCTGTCTATGACCATTCTGCTGTTTTCAATTCCTTCCTTTTCTTTCATATTTCCCTTGCCTACTTCAGTTTCAGCATTGTTGCTTCATGATAATTTAGAAGTATATAATTTGATTTTCTCATTGATTCTTGTCAATAATATTAAGTTGTGAATTCTCATACTTTACATATATATGATATATTTTTAGGGTTAAATATATTATAATTTCTATTTAGCTATCTGTTCTTTCCCTAATATTATGCATTATTCGACTTTTCTGTACTTTATCCTAAATTCCGTCGTCCAAAATTTCCGTTACTAAAATACTCTTTCCCAAACTTTGTTTTTGGTGGATGCACTTTGTGCCATGCCATATGAACAGATTTAAACAATAGTTGAGTTAACCTTAATTTTCAGTTAACACGCGTCAAGAAGTAACAAATTAATTTATTTTCGCGTTTTTTATTACAGAATACCTATATAAGAATAATAATAAATAATTTACGGAAATGAGATGTATACATCTTATACAATACAACGAAATATTTGTCCAACTAATTTTAGTTACGAAAATAAAACTATAATTATATGTTTAAATAATTAATTAGAAATATTTAAAATATTTCAACACTCATTAAAAATTTAAAAGTAATCCCTAAATTATTACATTTCTGTAAAATAAATTTCTGTATGAACGCTCTTAATTCAAACATACATCTATAGACGTTTATCATAAGACAAAGCTTCCTTTTCCTTACAAACGGCTACTATTTGATTTGTAGACAGAGTAGAAGATAGACTACCTGTTACTAAAGATCATCTAAGGAGCTATCAACTTCTTCAAAACATGCCAAATATATTGGTGCTCATTGCCGACATCTGTAAGTACTAGTCTGTAAAAGCCAAATAATAAAAAAAAAACTGTCATGTGGCAAACCTGTCACCGACATTTTTCTATTATGTTTTCTAAAGCGTCGGTATTCTTATGGAATTGTAAAATATTTTGAATCCTGTAGTCAGTTTTCTCCTTCTTTGAATCGTATTCTAATGTTATAATAATTATAGCCAAACAAATGTCTACGGATTTTTATATTAGATACTATGTTGGACACAAAGGGAAATTTGGGCATGAATTTCTCGAATTTGAGTTCAGGCCGGATGGAAAGTTGCGATATGCTAATAATTCTAACTATAAAAATGACACAATGATTCGTAAAGAAGCCTATGTTCATCCCTGTGTTATGGAAGAGTTAAAAAGAATCATTTTGGATTCTGAAATTATGCATGAAGATGACCGGCTTTGGCCACAACCTGACCGCGTTGGTAGACAAGTGAGTATGCCGATATACTAATTGCATTTTGTTACTGGTCCTAGAATCTTCTTAGTTTATCGTATGATTTCTCTATAATTATTGTCTAATGTGTTCATATTAATTACAAATTGTTATAAACTGTACTATTTAAAGATAACCTAGTGAATTTAACCAAATTCTGCATGTTACTTTTGCATCTTTTATCTCATCTTTTTATATTTGATATATTCAGTAAATAGGTAATTTGGTTCGAAATAAGCTATATGAAAATAAAATTATATTACAATATCAATTAACACAAAACTTACTCTGTCAACCTTTCACATCTAATGAACTGATTCTGTTATTAACATTATTTTTCTACAGGAATTGGAGATAGTCATAGGTGAAGAGCATATTTCCTTCACAACCTCTAAGACTGGATCATTGGTAGATGTGAACCAGTCTCGTGATCCAGAGGGACTACGCTGCTTTTACTATTTGGTGCAAGACCTCAAGTGTCTTGTGTTCTCATTAATTGGTCTTCATTTTAAAATTAAGCCTATATAGTAATGTATTAAGTAAACAATAAACATTGATGTCTTTTAATATTGTATTTTTTAATTTACCAACTCACACCACATTGAATAATAACCTGTGCAAAAGAGGGACATAATGTTCAGGGACAGTATTTATTTAGAGCAAACAAGTCTGAGAAGAGACAATGTGAAACTCTGTGTTTATTCTTTTAATAAAATGCTAAATTGCATACTACAGTAAACAAACACATCTGAAGAATTAAGTCTAATTCAATTCTTTACATTAATTCTAATGATATCCTTCACTATTCAAAAATTAATATATTTTTGCATGAATAATTGGAAATTCCACTAGCAAAAGATAACTGAATATTAATCAAATTTTATCCATTCGGAGAAGGGATTGTAAGTAGTAAGGATCTAATAATTCCATTGCTAGTGATATACCCTATCAGGTTGACCTCCATACGGATCCCCATGGAAACCCTCTGGTTATTTTTTGTGGAATTAGTCCTGATGGACTAAATGACTTACATTAATTCTCATCTGTTATCGTTCACCAGTGCTTCACCAGCATATGCCGATAGCACAAGTTACCATAACATTATCACTCATTAAAAAAAGAAATCTGATTCATTACAAAAACGTTTATAAACTTGGTCGTGTAACGGTCTAACATCGCATTGTTTTCCAATAGATATGGGTCCAATTCCCACACAATACAAACTTGTATTTATGAGTGTGTCTATTTATATTATCTAGGAATTTTTTATAAAATAACTCATAATAAAAAATCTATTTAGTTTGGATTTACTTGGCACTGAATAATAATATGTTCAAGGCTGTTTAATGGGTATTTATTACTGTAAAGGTAAGGTGACCAACTATACTCATTTACTGAGTTTTGTACTCTTTTTTCGCAAACCGTACTCTTTGAAAATCTTATACTCTGAAAGTACTCATTTGTATAATTTTATATTCATTTGTATTTCTAAAACATTTTTTTAGATTATTTTCATTTTAATTAATTAAATATTTAAAATTATTTTGACAGTGAGTTTGAGTGACAATTCAAATAATTTCATGCGCGCATATTGCTTGCCTTTTCCGGCACGTCAGAAAACAGGGCAAGCACCTTGTTTCTTCAGCAGTCGAATTTGTAATGAAGGAAATAAAAGTTATTGTTATTAATGACAATTTTCTCTTTGAAGAAATTGGAAGAGTAAATTTATATTTAAATGAAGAAAAATTGAGGTCATTACTGTGTACGTGAATAATCTTGTCTATCTATCTCGCTCCTACAAATTAACTATGTTTTGTTTTTCAAATTTCCAAATTTTGTTTTTATTGTAGATTAAATATCTTATTCCAAAACTAGGTATACTACGGTATAATAATTTCTAAATCATAATTATCAAACAAAGTAATATATGTTTCTATTAAAATTAACTATGAAACATAACGGTTTACACAATTCTAAAAATTGTGTCATTTTACGTAAGGAAGTTTGCAAAGATATTAATATAAAAAGAATGATCGTCTTCTTTAATAATTCTGTGATATTTCAGTATAATTAAAAAAAAACTGAGATAATTAAAAATTATAGAATTAAACATTTTTTTAATGTTATTGGAACCGTTAAAAAAGAAAAAAAAAATAAATTGCATATGTTAAAGTATTATTATTTAGCGTGGGAAGAAACGTATGTATCGTTTTATGTATCTATTTATGTTTATAGTATAGCTTTGCGCGTTGCGCGCGCATAGCATCTGCCCGACCGACCGATTATGGCGGACAGGCACTGAAGAATGTTTGCCGTCTTTTCTAAATCGGAGAATATCGACACTAGCCAATGGCATAAACCGGGTTTTTTGTAAAAATTGTACATTGTAAATAGTTCTGTGTACATATAGTAATTATATTTGTGCTCGTTTTGTTTAGAAATTGTGTGAATAGTGTATTATTTGAGTGTTTATTCAGTTTATTTTTCGACGCCGACAAATCTAAATTTCGAAGTTAGTACATTGGCTAATATACATATTTCCCATAAAAATTAAAAATCCTGTAAATTTTACTTCGTAGAGACCATCGATTTCTTTTTACACCTTTGTGTTTCGATCCATTAAGGAGACCGTTGATGTTCTTGCATTATTTTGGTTTTCAATAGCGGCTGTCATCGTGCTTCGATAATACCATTAACTGTCATTAAAGAAAGACAAAAAGACTACTGTAGTCCCTAAATGGCTTAGCTATTTAGATGTATTTATCATAAATAGTCTATATGATCATGTGAATCGATTTTACATTACATTTGGCTGCATAATTATTGGAAGTAGTGATTGACAACTACAAAGAAAACGATTTATTATTTGCTGTTGCGGAGGATCAAAGTGAATTGGAGCTGAATGCTCGAACCTCACGGTAGCCCAATGAAGTGGCCGGGCTCGGGAGCGGAAGAAGAGGCGGGCGAAGCTGGTTTGCAAAGCGCTCGAGCCTCTCAGGCTCGTAGCCAGGATGATGTCGCCGTGCATTATGTTTTTCAACGAGACCCCCAAGAGACCGAATTGGCGTCTTTAGCTCCCAAACAACGTTGGGCAGTTGGTGACGATACTATAGTAGAGGTTAGTTTACAATTTTCTTACTAAAATTGTTTACTTAAATTAATAGAGCTATCTAGTTGACTCACATAACCTAACATTTATTGAAGCAAGATTATATCTTCGAAAAGTAATGCTTATAACCTTAATGAAGATTATAATCTTGAATCATTTGCAATATTTTTCAATCATATAGAAGAATAGAACATTGACAATAAGTGTAAACAATATATTCTTATCTAGTTTGACAGCTATCTGTATAAAATCTTGTAGCGATTAAGGCCGCCTTTGATTTTTTATCTCCTTGTATACATCTTTACTGTGCGCAATGATCATTATTATTATTTCATAATTAGTTTTTTATACAAATATAATTATACAAATGAACCTAAATAATATTTATATGACAGTCATTTCCCATATCTATTAGGTAAACATAATTATTACATGATATAAATATAACTATTATTGTTTAATTTTTAAGATTAAATTTTAGGTGACTCAATTATTAGTAATAATATGAATATATATCATTAGTTAATCACCTATTAATACTAATGTGTATTGTGAAGCAAATTTGAACAACAAAATATTGCGGGTTTGTAATGCAACTTAGGGAATTTCTAAATTTTAATATATATATATATATATATATATATATATATATATATATATATATATATATATATATATATATATATATATATATATATATATATGGAATATATTGATCAATATGAGATAAAAAAATAAAAAAAAAAAACAAGTGTCTTTCACTGCTTTCCATCTGGTGGACCATCTGTTAATTTGTCTCCTTAACAATAAAAAAAAACCTCATATACTTATTATTGTATTCCAATTGTTAAGTAGTTAACATGCCAAGAGAAAAACTCAGCTTGACAGTATAACACTTATAACACACTGTTTAGACTGAGTAAGGATGATTCATACTTTTAATTTGTATAGGAAACTTATAACCTACTTTAAAGTTTTATTTTATTATATTTTCAGAATCAAGATAAATGGAAGAATCCCACTCCAATTACAATGAATAATATGCATCAGCAAGGTCAAGCAGTACAACTTAAAAACAATCAAACAAATCAACAGCAGTTCATCAATCAAGCTATTGCTTCATCGGTTGGTACATTGGCAATCAATCCTTCAGTCATTGGTAGTCACCCTGCCCATTTAACAACCAACATGGTACATACACAATTGACTCCAATGCAGAATCATACAATGAGGAACAATGCCATGATGTTACCACCATTACAAGGCATGCAGAATGCACCCCAATGTGGCCAGCAAGGATTATATGATATTCACCAACACCATGGTAATCCAATGCAGGCAATGAATGGCATAGGCAAGAGTGCTGAACATCTCATGTATTTGAGTCAGGCAGGAATGCTTGCACCGGGAACTAATCAGTTCCTGCAGCAAGGACAGAACCAACTTGGACTTACACCTGTTGCTGCTATTACAAATCAGGTAAGTAGATTCTTATTGTTGCATATTTCTTTTTGATTAGCATATTGGTACATAAACACAAATTTTTATATTTTTCCAAATGTGGTTATATTTCATATTATTTTATACATTCACTTATACTAGACACTAGGTAATATGAGATTACTGTATAAATTTTGATAATTTTCCATAACCATTGTGATAACCTTGACTATAAGCATAGATTCACCATTGTGGGCGTGATAGGCATGCCTGCAATTCTAATAGACTTGTGACATTACGATTTCAGGGTCTATTGAGGTCAATAGGCTTATGATATTATATTCAATGCATTAATAAAATTAAAAAAAAAAAATTTGGAATGCAGTGAAGTACTTTGTCATATATTATATGCTGCCATGTTATGCCACATTATTACCTGGGTGTCAATGAAATTATCAACATTTTTACAAAAGAAACCGAAGCTTGAATCTAAATAAAAGTATTTAATGTGAAAGATGTATTAGCATTTGATTTCATCTAATATCCTTTAAAATAGTAAACATTTTATCAAAATTGGTTTAATAATTTAGTGTTAGAATGTGCCATTGCGATGTGCAAACAAACACATTTGATACTTTCATCAGTGAATAAACTTTTTATAAGTTTTATTATTTACTTTACTATTATGGGAATTAGTGTTCACTCCACAGCTTTGTGTATGTGATACTTTACACTGTACAAAATCTTAGTTAGGGCGTCATAAATTTTGTAAACATCTCTTTTATAGGAAATAGGACTGTAGTTCATACTTCAACTCGCACTTATCTGATTTTCAGGTAACTGTAATCATAACTTTTTTTTAGAGTCTGTGCCTTCTTAACTTTGTTACTACTGTGATTTAATGACCTTGGTTGCATAGACTCATATTCCAATGTTTGCAACTTCAATCTTTGTTCTAGAGGTGAGGCACACAGTCAAACACAACAGGTTTTAAAAAATAATAACACAGAACTGTTGTATTGGTCGAAACTGAAATACAGTTCCAATTTCATTTCATGTATCATCTTAACTAAACATGAAACATGCTTTTCTTGTATCTAGCACATGTGTTAACCTGTGCTATAGAAAGAGATAGCCGCAGTTGTTTTCTGTCTGATTGTGTTACCTGAAACAACTAATCTAGCATATGTAGGTCACTTTTGTCAGAGCTAGCAACTGTTCTTGGTATGTTCTGCCTCAAAACTACCTATAGTGTTAATACAATTGAATACATTCAAGAAAAATGATGACCAAATTTGTTGAATAGAGAAAAAAAAATAATAACAAGAAGTGGTTACTTTTTAAAAAAAGTAAATTTTAGATGATTAGAATAATCATCAGATGTTTCAAATATAACATTGTTATTGTGGAACAGGCTAAGAGTTCATAATACGGCCCCAGTACTATTTCAATCAGATGTCCAAATGTACCTATCATATACTGAACAGTAGTTTATTTACTTCTAAAAAGAATAGTGGTCTAAAATTACATATAACAACTAAATATTAATAATGCTCCTATGAAGTTTACATAATTTCCACTATACACCACTCCACTATATACCACAGTAGATGTTATGTTTGCCATTTACAGTATCTAATTTTTTATACAAGCCACAAAATTATATTAATAGAACTATGTGATACATATTTATTTATTTATTATTGGTGTTTAGTGTAACTTTTTTGTTATTTATTAACAGTGCCTGATAAATTATTTATTAAAAGACATGACTTTCGAGTGGTTGATGAATTTCTTTCATAAACAAATTTAAATTGAGTTAATATTTAATTGAATTCTATTCAGTCTTGCTTTCTAACGCCAGTATCCATAATGGTTCTGCATTCTGAATCCTTACAAAATTTTCCAAATTTAAATGATCAAAAAAGCATTATGGAAAAATCAATAACCAAATTGAAAGATAATATTATAGTGCCCTGAAAATAATCCGATTTCTGTGCTAGAATAAACAAAAAGAATAGATAATCTACTATCTTTGGAAAAGAAAATTTTATAATTGCTGCAAGGATTTTAATCCTTGGAGCAATTATAAAAAAATATGTATCTTGGATGTGGATTTAGAAAGAATTTGAAAGACACAGATATAAATAGAGTGAATGTGGCAGGCACAATAGAAACCAGAAATCATAGTTGGCCAAATAAAACTGTATTAATTATATTTTTAGAATTTCATGCTGCATGTTTTATGGAGATGGGAATTAACGCTTGTTTAGGTAAACTATGATAATTTACCCGAATTAAGATCTGAGACCCTCAGTATAATGACACATATAGTGTAATGTGAGACAATGGGTAGGTAAAAGGAAAACATTCTGCCTCGGCAACGTAGACACGACTGTGCCACATTAGTCTACTCATGATTACGGCTGGTGTATCCTGGTCGAAACGTCGCGGTAATTCAGGAAAATAAGAAGAGAAAGGGAGACTTTTTCTAGAGACTACAGTATGGGGTACTTATAAAGGGCGTATTAAAGTTTCTTAAGGGTCAATAATGCGATCATGATATTCCTGGTGTTACGGGCGTTCATAGGTGGTTCAGTGATCGTTCAACATCAGACAGTCTGTATGCATGATTGCCACCTTTGTAGTATAAAAAAAAAAATTGTTAAACCATTCCGAAAATGAGAGTACTACTTAATACACGAGCATACCTGGGTCTTATTATAAGAAGCATCGTTTCTTGAGCATGTAGAACAGCTTTTCTCTACTTAAATGATCGCGTTATTTCCTGTTTGTTATAAAACTCTGTAGTTGCCCTTACGTGATTGCGAGCTTTATTAAGGTTGATAATAAAATGTTAACTTCACCTATGTTGTGGGTTTATCCTGGCGAGGTACCAGTGTTGGATAATGGGTGAGGAAGAAGTTATATCAATTACCCCGTTAAGACAAATTTACAAGTGATTAACCATCATAGTTTGTCGGAAACGACAAATATAGTCATTTCATAAAATTCCCGTTATACCTATGTATAGATATAGACCACGGTCCATTATTTGCAGTCCCATCCTTGATGTGAAAGAAAGATAATGAAAGAAGATATGCAGTTAAAATGCAAGCATCGCCAGAATTTGCGAAATTACCATTATCCATTTTGTAATACAGTCGTGCCAGACTAGAGCAAATTGATTTGAAAGAAAGTATTAGTAGTAGTAAAGTAGTAGTATTAGTAGTAAAAAGTAGAAAAGGCATATGCAAAAAATGTCAGGTGAAAGATTATTAAAACTCTTAGACAATACAAATATGTAAATACGAGGCTTACACTGAGAATTTTTAGAACTGGCTACTTGAAAGCAATATAATAAAAAAAATTGTTAAAATTTTGAAAATCAAACTCTTTACGAATAATACTGAGTATATAATTTATTCGTTTGTCATTTGTTTTACGGTTTGGCGGCAAATTGAAAATAGTCTGTGTAACGTGATCATGAACTTAACACGAGAAAATTTTCGTGCGATGATTTTGTATGACTTTCGATGTCATCTAAATCAACAAGAAAGTTATGATAGACTACGATTGGCCTTTCACGATGAAGCTCCGTCTCGTGCCACTGTTTACAACTGGTTTAATGAGTTTAAACGTGGTCGCACTAATGTCACTGATGATGTGCGTGAGGGACGGCCTTCTACGGCGACGACTGAAGATAACATCAGTGTTGTGCGGCGTATGATAGACACTGACAAAAGAGTGACCTATCAGCACTGCAGAGTTATTACTTACAGTAACAATTGTTTGCCATGTGTTTTGGAAAAAGTGCGTGAGAAACGACCTCGCAGTAGGATCCTCCTTCACCACGATAATGCTTCGTCGCACACCGCCAGGCAAACAATCGATTATTTGGCGACCTCAGACGTAGAACTACTGTGTCATCCGCATTATATGCCGCCGACCTCGCATCTTGCGATTTTTATTTATTCCCAAAAATAAAATAAAAACTTTGAGGAAAACGTTTTATGGACGCCGAAGAAGCTATGGCTACGTTTCAAAAGGCCATCGAAGAAAGAGATTCCTAAGGACGAGTAGGAAAAGTGCTTTTCTCAATGTTTCTATCGGATGCAGCGATGTATTGACGTGAATGGACACTATTTTGAAAAGATAAAATAAAGGTAAAAACTTGGTAATTTAATCAGTTTTTGATTTTCTAAGGACTTTCAGTTTGACCCTCGTAGGCTGGGTAGTAATGATATTCATATAGGTACTTTTCGAATGCAATGTCGTCAAAATTTACCTTTCTGTATTAATTAAACAACGCCTGTAAACTAATAAAAACGAAGCGAATTTCAACTTATACTGATGTTTAGTGGTACTAGTATAAAAAATAGTCCTAAATAAGATGAAACAATAGTCCTAGACGCTGCCTCCAACTATACAAATTCCAAATACTACGAAAAATATAGTACTATTTCCATGTTTGGGCTGAACTACTTCAATATCAATTTTATCTGCTAACACCTAACAACGATAAGTATTTCATATTAATGACTATCCCGCATTGATCTGATGTCATTTGTATTGATTCTGTGGCGCTATTACTCTACATTTATCTCTAAAATTTCAATTTGATGTCACAGCGAAGTCTTTATTATAAGAATCAATATTAACTAAATTTCTAATAGATTTAAGTCCAAATTATTTTAAATTTAATTTCGTCAAACTATCATTAAAATAAGATAAGAAATAACGTTAAGAGAACTGGCGCCTCAGAATATATTCCATTTGGTGTGTAGAACATGACATTTGTTTTTTCCTCGCGTGTTCTGAAGCTCACTCCTGTATTAAACGATAAGCTTACTCCTGTATTAAACAATATGGGACTTTATAAATTGCGTTTACTATTTTTAAAAGCTCAGCCATGCTTAACCCATTGTGTTGCAAGTGTTCAAGAGAGATGGTAGTCACTTCCCATCAGGTGAACCGTCATCTCGTTATATATAAAAATACCTATATTTGTTCTCTTAAAGAATACCTGCTACAATCCG